TTGGATCTGCATGAAGCACCCATTTAGAAATAGCTGCATCCATCATAGGAGGATGCTTAGCTTTGAACCTTCCAACCTTCTGTAACTGTCCCCTATAGCAGCCATTTTATGATTGGTCTTATTTTCCATGGCAGCCATTTTGTGGTGATATCCACTAATGTTTCTTAGAAGTGCCCACAGGTTCATCAAGGTTAGAGACTATTGGTCTAGCACACATTTTCACTGCCCCTAGCACAAAAGGAACAAAGTGGACCCAACCTAGTAGCATAGCCATCCACCAGTACCACAACTGTGCCATGCTGGGAGTAGAATCACTAGCACATCAATCCTCATGCCAGTATTGGCATAGAAAGAGAAACTGTCCCCAGACAATTGACCTTATTAAATGATGGCTAAATGCAACTCAGTAGGCCACATAGGATCCATGCTCATCACTTGCCATTCACCCTTTACATCTGTGCTGTGGCAAGATTTCCCAACTAATCTTTATACAGCTATATGTATATATTTAAATCATTTTGGTATAGGGCTGCCAAGTGGCAGCGGGGGATCTGCGAGTTTTTCCCGGAGCTCTGTTGCGGGGACGGCAACACACGTTGCACCCGCCGTCGTATGAATTTTGGTAGACTGTATACACTTTAATCTGTTGAACCAAAACACTGGCTGATAGGGCCAAAAAGGATATTTGGCTGTGCTGGAGGATCTCTCCTGTTTTAACACCGACACTGACTCCAAACGTTCAGAAGAATGACACAGCTTTTAAAATACTGCTATACATATATATATTCATCTCTGTATGAGAATGTATATAAAATGATTGGGGGTGAAAGTTCCATCAGTGGTGTCTGACCTAAAAGAGCTAATTCATAAAAGCAAGTCACAACCTCTTGCTGAAGTTATGAAGTGATAAACATACATGCATGCAGCAAACGAGTGAGGGAGAGACAAGACTCAGGTCTTTTGCAGCAGTCCAGGGCTATTTTTGGGCAGGAACGCACAGGAACAGAGTTCCGGCTGGCTCCCAAGTTGGCCACGCCCAGCAGGGACTCATTAGCATAATAGGCCACACCCAACAGCAGAAACTCATTAGGATTGGCTACATTAGGGGTGTGTGGCCTAACATGCAAAGGAGTTCCTGCTACAAAAAAGCCCTGGGTTTTGACAACAAACAAGGTAAACAGAATAACAAGCAAAAGGTGGGTGTGGCTGGATGAGCACACTTCTGGTAACGTGGGGGTGTGGCCTAATATGCTAATGAGCTGTGCTATCAGGGGTGTGGCCTAATATGCTAATGAGTTTCTGCTGTTGGGTGTGCTAATGAGTTCCTGCTGGGCTTTTTCTACAAAACGTCTAAACTTTCTAGACCCACCATCTTCACATCATTTTACTTCAAGCAATCTACTGAAACTCTAGTTTTGTTTAAAAACAGTCATGAGACCCAGAAAACTGAGTCATTGAATGTTTTAAACAATAACTTTTGATCTGGAAACCTTGTCTCCTAATCACAGACGCTTGGGAAAGGATTGTGGTAATTCATTTGGTATAGGAACTACATTCTCTACCTGCTTGGAGGGAAGAAACCAGATAGCGAGGCCACAGCCATTTGAGGGGAAAACTCTATGTTTTCCCCTCAAAGGGCTGTGGCCCCGCCCCAGCGTGTGACGTCACATCCGGGTGACGTAGATGCGGCGCGCACACCCGGAGATGGCCAGCAATCCTCCGCCAAGGAGGTAAGACAGATTTGGCAACCCTACCTAGAAGCCAGTTTTATATGTAGTCTCCGATATGGGAACCTACCTATAAACCATATAAACCCCTTTTCCTCCTCATGGCCCTGTTTTTCTCTCCCCCCCCCAATACCTACTTCCACCCTCAACAAAACAAAAAGCAAATGGTGATTTTGCCACTGGCATGGTCCACTTTAGTCTGGGGAGTGGGCATCCCCATCTGTAGGTCCTACCTGTTGAACAGCAATAGATTCAACAAACGTTAAAGGGATGGAAGCAGTTCTGGATGAAAGCAGTTTTGTTTCTCCTTTCACATCAAATTATTTGGGGGCACAGACTAACATGCCTGTATGAGGAGTGAGGCCTATCAGCATTTCAGGGTAAATGTGGCATTATTCCAGTCTAGCCGACAGGCCCATAATGGGCCCTGCTATTTGTCAAAACAGAAACTTCATGCTTACCTGGACACCAGAGTTTTAGTTGTCTGTAAGCTACGCTGGGGGCCAATTTTTGGCCAAAGAGGAGATATGCTACAATTTGCCATGCTCGGAAGATGCACAGAGGAATGAACTTGGAGCCACCACTCTTCACCCACTTTGATCAATAGATATGCAACAGACATAAACCACACACAAAGGTGCACCATTCCAGGTGGACGGCCATGTTGGTCTGACTCTACAATTGTTCTAAAAAGATGCACACTTAGAGATACTCTCACATTACATATAAGCAATCATTGGAGGGGACAGGGTAGAGGAAGGAAAATCAAGATAACTCTTATTTCATATTGTAATCATATAAACACACACAGAGAGAATAAGCCCTCCTTCCCAGAACTGGGGTGATATCAGGAGGGGTATTATGGGATGGGGATCCTAAGCCATGGAGCTGCTGGTGAGTGTACAGGTTAAATCCACTCCAACCCCCCCACATATTGGCAAGTGATAATTCATGGTGCATGATGTTATTCTAGGAAGAAGAAACTGGTGCCTTTACTTGCTAGGAAATTCCCTTAGACCAAGGGTTCCCTGGAAAGTACCCTGGTAACCAGCCGCCACCTCTCAGGAGGACCTGCCAAGAACCTCTAGACTGATCCGCTAAGAAGGCACTCTTCCAGCACAGTACTAGAGCAATAACAAAATAAATTACAACCAACCCAGTAGCACCCGTGCAGTCTAGCACATGGGGAAAAGATTAAGAGAAATATTGCAAAGAAATAGATTGTACTAGGTGAAAGAAAATAAAAGTCTTTATAATGAGTTTTATTGTAAAAGAGAGAAAAAAACGGAAATATGGTTGAATTAAAAAAAAGGGGCACAGAGACATTAAAATGAAAAGCAATATAGTTGAACTAACTAAGCTAAACACACATTACCTATGCTCTAGCAGGTTTCTCAGAGCAGGTTCCTTGTGGTAACAAAAAGTCAAAAGAGTACTTAACCTTTACCCAACTTCCTGCAGACCCCATTTCCACTGAAGATGGAGAAGAGAAAAGAGAATACAAGGAAAAATCCCAAATGTCCAGATATTTATGCTAAATGGAGTTGGGCCAAAGGCAGCCTCCTTTCTAAAATTGACAAATGGATTTCTCCGATCCCACACAACTCCCTATCTCTGATGTCAGAGGCTACTTTTACCCACCTCCATCAAGCACCTGGTAATGGCTCTGGAATTCCATGACAAATAGATGGTTTGGTCCAAACTGGATTGTCCAAAAGGGATTAAGTTTGCCAGGATGGTCTAATGTGGAATGGAATTGAATAACTCATTCTCATGGACTCTAGGTGTCCAAGATCCCAAATGCTTTAGGTGGCACCAAATGCTCTAGGTGGCACTCTTGAGCCTTAGCAAGTTTTAAGATTTCTTCACACATTTGTCTTAGGTCGAATCCACATGTGTGTTTCTTGCCGTTTTCCTGATATTTTCGCTCCCGGCCCCCAACAAGCTGTCTATATTTGCATCCGATTGCATGCTGGCAGTGCGCCAGTATAAAAATCAGTGTCTGCATATGTTTCCCGCCCTCTGGTAGTGACTCCATTGTCATAGTCACTCCACACTGGTTTAAATGAATGCTGTTCTCTGCTGCTCTAACACCTCCTTTCTGGTTTCGTTGCGCTGTCAACCTAATGCAGACATTTAGAGCCGTTGCTCCGCTAATTCTTGAATAATTCCAATAAACTAGGTGGTAACTCGTGGTTCGATTCCAACAGTACCCTTTTCTCTTTTTACTAGCTAGCCCCCCAAATAATTTTTTTAATTTTTATCTTGTTTTGAAGCTTTTATTTCTTGACCCCTTTTACAGACCGACTGAACATTTTTAAGTTCACTACTGGTGCAGTAAGAGCTTGAATTTATCTCAAAATGTTTAAATCCAGAAATGGCATTTCTAATTTTATTGCCGCTTGGCTCTATTTCCTCATAGCTGTGTACCAGCCCTCAAATCTTATTTTCCAAAACTTATCTATCCACTTTCAAACCATTTATTTTCTTGATCCCCCCACTTTATGGGACATTTTTAAGTTCAACAGGGGGGGATTTACTTCGAGCTGTAGGAGGCACACTCAGCAGTAAAATACAAGACCTTGTGTTTAGCTCAGTGGGTAAATTCCTGCCCTGTAAGTCAGGGCATTGTTGGTTTGATTCCTGCATGGATGCTTTTACTCATTGCTATGTACCAGTCCTCAAAAAATTTTATTTGAAATGTATCTGTTTATTAAATTTATAATCACTGAATATGACTGGGCAATGCACAGCTTTTTCGAGTAAGAGCTTGCATTTGGCTCAAAAAGTTGCAATTCCTGCCTTGTAGTCATGGCGTTTCTCATTTTTAAGTTCACAGGGGTAAGAATGACAGACCCTAGGAGTAACAGAAGTGTTCTGGGACTGGAATGACTGGCCCCAGAGTGGAATGACAGCCCCTCGGGGTAGCAGCAGTGTTCCGGGAGTGGAATGACAGGCCCAATGGTGGAATGACATCCCCTTGGAGTAAGAGGAGTGTCCTGGAACTGGAATGCCAGGCCTATATATATGTATAGCAGTATTTTAAAAGCTGTGTTGTGGCTTTATGCGAGGCTGGCAACATTTGATCATCAGACAGAAGAAAGCTTCAGAAAACACAATCACAATTACCAGTGTCAGCAAAGAGACCTGGTAAATCTCCTGGTCCACAGTAGTGTATTGTCAGCAAGCTGTCATGGTGTTCTGTGTGACCTCTGCTTGTACATATCTTTTCCCTGTTTCTGCCGGCTACCCATTATGTTATTCTGCTGTAATGCCTAAGTAAAACAACTGGAGGATGTGAGGGGGAGAGTATGCTTCACTGCTAGATTGAGCCTGAGAACTGCACCTGTGTTATGTCTAGAGTTGCCTGGTTCTCAGGACCTGGGCGCGCGACCGTTTCTTTAGCCCGCCAGCGGGAATGTTACCCATTGGTTATGTGTCTGATTGAATTTCTTTATTATGTTTGCCCTAACTGCTGGTACCCAGTTCTAACAAAGAACGTGTTTGAGTATCTTTCCAACGCTTTGAAATAAACCTTACTTTTTTCTTGGATACGTGTATTTATTCTTGATGCTTGGGGATCCAACATATTGTTAGAACTCTCTTTCTCCTATCGTTCCGAATCTGGTGAGACCATGAGCGGGACTGAGGGACACTTACCTACTACGGAGGGGGACACGGGATCGGTCCCAACTACCTCCGCACCTTTGATTTCTACGACTACAGCATCAGCGGAAGGTGCTGTGGGGGGAACGATTCCCCGACTACCTGCCTACCTGTCTTGGCCGCCTCTAACCCCTTCGCATTGGGGCACGTGGAAGACCCAGGCGCAGGATGATTGGACTTTGTACAACACACAAGGCACCCGAGAGGTGTACTCCCATCGGGGCAGTGGGCTCCGAGAGAGTCTTTTTGACAAAGGAATGTTTCCAGACTCGGGGAGTTCGGGAGAGACCGGGAGTTCCCGACGAGACTTAGAAGACTGGATGTTCGAGCCGTTGGGAGAGAGCGCCCGTGCAGGAATCTCGGAGAGGGCTGCAGACTTCCAGGCTGAGGGAGACTATGGGCCGCCTCCTGAATACCAACCCCGGGAAACAATTCCGGAAGAGACTACCGGGGAACGTCTAGAGGAGCTGGAACACTCGGTGAGAGACCTGATGAGGACGGTCCACGATGTGATGGAAGCGCTGCCGGGGATGATGGACATTCGAATGACTAACTTCCTGGCCCGACGAGAAGCCGCCGCCGCCGAGCCACTCCCAGAGCAGCCGGACGCCCCAGCAGCCTGCGGGATGCCGGAGGCAGCGGCGATGGGCGGGGGGAGGGGGAGCAGAGGATCGGGAGGGAGGGGGCCCGCAAAACCAGTGGGAAGGGCGGGCCCCCGTGGGCCCCACGCAGGCTACAGGCCTGAGTGAGCAGCTCTCACATCTCCCTAAACTCTTCATCAGCTGGACGTTAAGTACAAAGAGAAGGAAGGCAGAAAACAACAGATTTCCAGAGTATGATGGCAAAGTCCAACGACTGTAGTTTCTTCATTTTATTAAATGACGCTTACAGTGTTTAGTAGGGATGTCATTTATTTTAAAACAGATATCCTGTCCTTTTGTTTCCCCCTCAAAGCTCTCAGCATGGCTATACATCATTTGTAAAAAGATGCTTCCAGGGTTAAAAAATTTGAGGAAGAAAGTCACTAGATTGGGAATAGAATCTGCACACCTTTTGGCTGTAGGAGAGACCTTTTCTGCTGTCTATCCAAAGGCATGTGAAGAATCATCTGTCTGTCTGTCCAGGAACTGAAGGTTGATGGGTCTGTCTGCCACCAAAACTACACGGGCTAAGGGTTTAACGTCACCTCCTTGGGGGTCGGGTCTTATTTCATATTTCTGGATGATCTGCAGAGGGAAGGTTCAGAGCTAGACTCAACTTTGCCAGTTCCAAGAGAGAAGAAGCCACTGCTGGTTTCTGAGGAGTCAACATTTCCGTAACATGCCTAGCAACGTGAAAGGCTAGCACAATCCTTGAGTAAATGTACTGGAGCAACAAGCAGGGATAAGGAACACATTTCACATTACACTGGATCAGGGGTCATTTCGTAGAAAAAGAGGAGCAGGAGCTCATTAGCATAACTCATTAGCATAAATTATTTGCATATGCCGCACCCCCTGACATCACCGGAAGTGTGTCAGAAGGCAACAGCCACTGCTCAGGCTCTACTGGACTGTTTTGGATTGCTAGCTATTGGGGGGGGGGACGTGCAGATCTGCCCTCACAGAGGAGGAAGAGCTTGTACCTGAAGTTGGGCGGCGGGGGGGGCTCTGCAACTTACCTGGCTGCTTCTTGCTCCTCGTGGCCTGACTGAGGGCTTCTGGGAGCAGGGGGCGGGGCTTGTTGCATGTGCCCACTCCCTGAGCTCCTTACTGCCGGAGCTCTGCTCCTGTGCGCTCCCGCAGGAAATGACCCCTGCATTGGATAGACACTGAACAACAACTTATCCAGTTGGGGGGGCACACAGTATAGTTTACGCAAGAGTCTGAGGGCATGAGGGGAGCCAAGCCAAGCCCTGACACAAGTCAGATGCAGGGGTCATCATAAACTGCCCTCGTAATGCAACGGGACCTGGAGGGAAGCTCCTGATCTTGGTAGGATCTGCCACTGTGGCTACAGCAGCTCCCTTCTAATCACAAAGATCAATGTTGACTCATTAAGAGAAGTTAAAGGACTGAAATATTTTTACCACACAGAAAGGCAGGATAGGGAGGGGAAGTAAATAGTTCCTGCAATGAGAAATACTAACAACAAAGGCAGCTTCTACACAATGACAATTCCCCTTTGCAAGGATTCTACACACTTCCCTCAGTCATCCCTTCATGCCGCCATCCCTTCCCTACCACTGGAGGGCTTTTTGCTGTCTTTTTTTTTTTTTAAACCCAATAGTTGCTACATCACTATAGCAACTTCTTTTCTTAAAGCAAAAAGCTCTCTGATGGTGCAAAGGTGGGAAATGGTGACCCTGAGGAGAGGAGGCAGCAAAACGGCACCAGTGCGGGCAGGGGCAGTTCACAAATGCACACCTTCCAGTCTATGTGGTATGCAAACTCACTCGGACAGCAATCTTTCAGAAGAGCCCACACCAAAGCATGTTTGGGAAGCATCACGCCAAAGCACTGGAAACCCTGGGAAGTGGACAAATAGATAGATGCTTCAACTACCCATAAAGAAAACCACTGCTCCCGTTTCAGAGCAATAGAACAAAACGTCCACATAGAAGCACCCTTAGGCTGAGTCTCAAGGGCAATGATTCTCTGTGTAATTTTCATGGTTCCTGCTTTCAAAGGCAAGGCGCATTGCGGGTTCTTTGTATTGGAAGATTCCCAAAGACGAGGGGCTCCTTTTGCAACTTGGGTTAGGTAGGTTTTGGCAACATCATCCATGTCAAGTTACTCACAGTTACTCACCCTGGTGAGAGCCAAATGCATCTCTAATTCAGCAATGCGACGTCCCACACAGCCCCGGACCCCATAGCCGAAGGGGATGGAGCTGAAGGGGTGGCGGGCTGAAGTGTGCTCCTCTCGCAGCCAGCGCTGTGGCACAAATTTGTTGGGCTCTGGGAAGTTGGCCTCATTACGAGAAAGTGCAAAATGACAGAAAGAGAACAATGTCTAGAGACAGAACCAAATCAAATCAATTTTAGTATTATGGGCAATTGACCAGCAGTGCAGTAAAATCGTACAATAGTAAAATAGTACAGTCACAGACACTCACAGACAATAGTACAATTATAGTACAAGCCCCAACCCCCTATTAAAACCGTTATTCTATTCCCCAAATTCTAAGTCTTGTCTAAAATTCTCCTCAGCCTGTGCTTTCTGTTAGAAACTTTCACTTATTTATTACTAAAAAACAATATTTTGCTACTACCAGAGTTGTCGACTTCTTGGTGTCTTCCAACAAATATTTAATAGCCCTCATGACTGCAGAAATAAAAACTGGGGGGGAAAGGCAGTAGAGTGTACTCAAGTGTTCAGAAATGATCGCATTTCTGCGCATGCCCTCCGTGATCAAGCGTTTTACATTTTGCATGCCTTTGGCTGTATATTGGTGTACCCTGAAATAACAGCATGTATGTCACAAGCCAATACACATATGTGCCCTCAGAGGGAAAGCTGATTGTTGTCCTTCTCCCTTGCTTCAGGCAGGCTAACCACATTGTTTTCTGTCTTATTTTAAGAGCATCTACATGGTTATTTGATTACAAGGCTGCTTACCGCTTTGTTGTTTTTTAAGTGCCCCCCCCCATTTTTTAGTCTTTGAAATAAGCTCTAACAAGGGAAGGGAAAGTGGTTCCATGCCTGACACAGCCAATCAGCACTGAACAATTCTGCTCCTTCTGAATGCAGAAAACAGGTTCCTCCAAAACTTAATCCCGTAGAGAAAATTGTATATGTATCGCAAATACAGCCAGTACACACAGTTCTCCCTCTCTGTCATACTAATTCTTGGACAAAGTATATCTTTTGCAATCATAATTAGTTGCCTAACTGGCAGCATTTGGGCTTACCGGCTGTAGGATTTTCACTGCAAATCCCTGGATCCTAATTTACTGGAAAGGCGTGGAAACTCAATACTTCTGCATCTCTCCTTTGACAAGGAGGCATGAAGTGGACTCCAAAATAGTTACAGTAATTCAACGTTACTTATAAAACTAAATAGAATGTATACCATAGATCAGAATCACTAGTAAAGTCTGGAAAGGGGACACTTTCTATTGTGATATTGGAGTCATGACATGTACCCCAAACAGTTAATGTCCACATTGTTACTGAGGAAAAAGAAATTCTCCTGTCGGGGTAATACCCCAACACGCACCAGGTTGTTAGTGGAAATCCTCTGGTGGAGGATTGATCCACTAGCCCAAATCTGTTTTATGTACAACAGGGGCTTTGCTGAGTTCTTTTGATCTGTTTATACAGAGGTCAGAATCAGAACGAACACTCCTTTTCACCAAGAAGGCGACAACACAGCTGGATGTTTAAAGAATAAATGTTGTCTTTACTAAATAGTATTGAAATTCACATGCATACAAATAAACAGATTCATTCACACACACTCACAAGTTCCTTTAGATGCAGTAGAAATGGAAGCATTCAGTATATAGAAAATAATAAACTGTGACTAACAGAGAAGTAACACACAGAAGGGTAGCGGTTGATACTTATCTGATCCAGAAAATAGAGTTGGTTTTCTCAACGAAAAAAGCGGGAACAAAAGATCTCACCAGAGGGATCCTTCTTCACACGGATGGACCAGCCAAACACGTGTGGGCTAACCTTGGCTGCAGTCCAAAGAAGCACTCAAGAATTACCTCTAGCAGAGCTTCAGTTTCCTAGGTGGGGGGGGGGGTTAGATGTCTAGCTAGCTTGCTTGCTAGCTGTTAGCTTAGTTACAGAAAGGTGGGGTAAAAAGACGGCTAGCGAAGCACAAAAGGTGTGCAACGCCTTTTAAAACCTGGCTTTGGGGCCCATTTTTGGGACAACCTCTTACTTATAGTCCGTCCTCTTTCCTATGTCTATTGGCCATTGGAAGGTGACCTACCTATCTAGGGGGAGTGAAACAATATCCAAATTCTAAACCTAACTTCAATGGGACCATTTGGTCAAGGTGTGAAAGTTACATTGCCATGGAAACCCTTTTGATGTAGATCTGTTGGCTTGGCCCAAGAGCAGTAAACAGGATGTCCTCTCTTGTGATGCAAACCAGAGGAAGGGTTACCTGCCATTCCAGGAACTCCTGATGGTGGAATATTTGTTGTTTGTAAAAGTCTTTTAGCTGAGCATGATGGAGACTGCCTTCTTTTCCCCCAGGCAGGCTGGGTAGGTGTGTGTGTGTGTCCTCATTAGCATGTTGGTGCAGGCAGCACAATGGCACAGCATCTTCCAGTGCAGGCACTCAAAACAGGCAGACAGACTACACAGCATTCCCAAACCCACAGATGCAGATACATGGTATACACATACAGATGAAATACATTTATAAGCACACTTGCCAGCAAGGTGCAGGGTATTCCACCTACTTTGACATAAATAGCAGAGAAAGCAATGTCTAATAACTATTAACAAAGCTGTTTAGACAACATCCTGGCTGAAGCATAGGAGGCTTCATTAACTTTACCTCATTATTACACAATAATAACGAGAGAGGGGAGGAAGAAGAAAAGTAACACTTAAGTACATGAATAACAGTGAAGTAGAAGAGAAGGTGTCAGCTAGCTGCCATGTTTTGCTTGTTTCCCTCCCTGTTCCCGCTTGCTCGCAGCTCAGCCGCTTGCAGTGAACATTGCTTGGGAGACCGTGGGAGCCAGCTCTGCCAGACGGCGCTCTCTGCCTGGCCTTGGGAGGAAGGGAGGGCTTGCGTTCCACCTCGGGTGTGAATCTGACTGCTCTCATGAGACCCTGCGAGTCTCCTGCTCATGATGTAATCTCCCGCTTTGTAATCCCACTTTGGCGGCCCGATTGCTGACGTGACAGAATTGGCCCCCGGGGGAAACCCCACCCCCGCGTGCATGTCACCCGGATGTGACGTTGCACGATGGGGGCGGGGCCACAGCCATTTGAGGGGGAAACTCTATGTTTTCCCTCAAATGGCTGTGGCACCGCCCCTAGCATGCGATGTCACATCCGGGTGACGTAGATATGTCGTGCGCGCGCACCGGGAGGTCCCCAAGAGTCCCCCGCCGAGGAGGTGAGTATCATTTGGCAACCCTAGACAGAAGGGAGGGGCCGATTTCAGAAGGAGGCGAAAAAACAGTACAGAGCATCAAGCCCCCTCCCTGTTGAAACCACAGCGCTTTATCTCATTCAAATTAGGTTCCAGAATTATGTTCTCTCATTCAGATTAGGTTTCCAACACACATAGGCCAAGACACTAGAAAAGTCTGAACATTTCACATTTGTACATCAAACAGTTAAAATTCAAAGGGCAATGTTTACCACATAATGAAGCCCAGAACGCTTGCACGAAGCAAGTAAAACCACACGTGGTAACGAACGTGGAGCCCTCAGAGCTCTGCTGCTCCTTCATATACTTGAGGGTGGATTTCCATCTAAGCCTGAAGAGCTAAGGCTGAATTCACTAGCATTAAATAACAATGGAGTCATTGTCTCTCTCAGTACAGTAACACAGATTAGTGGCCAACACTGATTACTTCAAGTAGAAACAGGAAAATTATTGTAAAGTTCTACTGCCCTTGGTAACACCTTCTGGTAGTCAGAAACCAGGGATATCTGGAGCATAAAGCCAAAGCCTCCGTCTACCCCGCCCACAGGAATTGCTCATTTCCATCTTTTAGAAGGTAATGTTATCCTGTAAGAAAACCAGCTGTATTATCTGGCTTATTTACATAGTACTAAGACACCATTTGGCTTTATTTCTCAACCACGTGAATGTTTCAGCATTACCCAAAGTGTTCTGGACTCACTAAGGAACCTTCCATTCCCTCACATGGGCTCCTAACTCTTCTGATGCATTAAAATTCTTGGCACAGAGAAAAATCCACCTTTATCTACTGCTAGATTATACATTTGTCAGCAAGAGTTCATCTGGCTGGCTAGATTTTCTAAACAACAGCAAGATCTCAAGGTTCTTCGGGGAGAAACTAAATCATCATGCTGGCTTACCCCTTTGGGGAAATGGTAACCTTCTATGACGACATCCTTCACTGCCACTCGGGAATTGATAGGCACCACAGGGTACAGCCTAAGAACAAAACAGACACACTGAGCCAGCAGTTTCCCCTTTCTTAAAGGAAACAGCAGGTTTGCACCTTTACCCCATCACATAATCTGGGCGTTTTAAAGAAGTTAATACATTTACCCAGGGCTTTTTTGGTAGAAAAAGCCCAGCAGGAACTCATTACCATAATAGGCCACACCCAACAGCAGAAACTCATTAGCATATTAGGCCACACCCCTGAAAGCACAGCTCATTGGCATATTAGGCCGCACCCCCATGTTACCAGAAGTGTGGTCATTCAGCCACACCCACCATTTGCTTGTTATTCTGTTCACCTTGTTTGTTGTCAAAACCCAGGGCCTTTTTTTGAAGCAGGAACTCCGTTGCATGTTAGGCCACACACCCCTAATGTAGCCAATCCTAATGAGTTTCTGCTGTTGGGTGTGGCCTATTATGCTAATGAGTTCCTGCTGGGCGTGGCCAACTTGGGAGACAGCCGGAACTCCGTTCCTGTGCGTTCCTGCCCAAAAAAAGCCCTGCATTTCTCAAAATATGTCATATCATCAAATTATTCCCACACAAAGAAATAGGAGGGAAATGGAGTCTGCTTGACAATCTATCTGTGTTGACATTGAACAGCATCCAGGCCTCTTAACCTTTCCAAGCGATGAAAACACTCTACCGCATTGAAGGTAGCAACTTGTTTATCTTCATGGATGCCACTACTCAAGTCCCACCATTCCTCAAGTTCCACTGTTTACAAACATAGCTCCCCTTCCCATTACATCTGAATAGGCTTTTCTATCTGGCTTCCCATGACTGGTACTGATTAGGATCTAGGGCTGCCAAGCCACGGCGGGGGATCCGTGCGTCTTCACAGGATCCCTGCCGCGGGGGACAGCGATACGCATTGCACCGCCGTCGCCACGATGTGACGCTTATCGCTGTCCCCCATGGCAGGGATCCTGTGAAGACGCACGGATCCTCCGCTGCGGCTTGGCAGCCCTATTAGGATCCCAGAAAGCAAGTCTAAAAATGCAACCACTGCTAATTTCTGACGGTCCCATGCCAGCTAAAACAAGGCACAGCTGCATTCTTGCCTCTAACATCCCCGGCCCCCAGAAAGCTTGCAGATCTTCTGGGATTCCTGCCTTCCTGCTTTACAGACGATTCCGCAACGGCTGCCCATGCCATAGGGTTGCCAACCTCCAGGCGGTTGCTGGAGATCTCCCACTATTACTTCTAGATCTTCAGGTGACAGAGATCAGTTCACCTGGAGAAAATGGCCACTTTGGAAGGTGGACGCTATGGCATTATACTCTACTGAAGTCCCTCCCCTTCCTCAAGACCAACCCACCATAGGCTCCACCACCCCCCAAATCTCCAAATATTTCCCAACCTGGAGCTGGCAACCCTACCATGCCATGATCTTGGAGTGCTAGTGGAAAGCGTGAACGGGTCTGCGTGTGCATCAGGAGTGAAGATATGCAGGGATCTGACCAAGGTTCTGGGGCAAGGTCTTCTCTGGAACTGACACTTCCCTTGATATCATACCCATGCGAGTGAAGCTCACATCCACCCCTTTCCATTTTCTTGTTCATAAACTATTAATGTAAAAGGACATGAGATCTGTAAGGTACCAATATAGTCTAGCTGCTTCAGGATAGGAAGAAAGCAGAAATAATTAAAAAGAAGAAGAAGAGGAGATTGGATTTATACCCCGCCCTTCACTACCCAAAGGTGTCTCAGAGCGACTTACAAACTCCTTTCCCTTCCCCTCCCCACAACAGACACCCTGTGAGCAGTGTTCCCTCTAAGCCGAGTTAGTGTGAGCCAGCTCACAGTTTTTTAGCCTCCAGCTCACACATTTTTGTCTTCGCTCAGGAAGGATGAGGCTCTAGAGCTAACTGATTTCTGCAGAAGCCCAATCACTCGCTCACAACTTTAAAGCCAGGAACTCACAAAGTAGAATTTTTGCTCAGAGGACTTAGAGGGAACTTTGCCTGTGAGGTAGGTGAGGCTGAGAGAGCTCTTGACAGAAACTGCTCTTTTTCAAGGACAGCTCTTATCAGAACTATGGCTTGCCCAAGGTCATCCAGCAGGTGCAAGTGGAGGAGTGGGGAATCAAACCCGGTTCTCCCAGATTAGAGTCCACGCACTTAACCACTACACCAAACTGGCAACCACAGCTCAAGAAGGCTTGGAAATCCTTTATAAAGCAAGCCATCTCTAGCTGTTATTAAAGCTACCGTACATACAATTTGCTCTTACCAGGCTTGATTTCTATGTGAAAATAAATTTTACAGTTCTAAAAGATTTCTCTGCTGCTCATATTATTTCAGCAATCTCTTCTTCCAGAGACTCTTCAGTTCTAAACCCAGAGTTATGTGCCATTCTTAATCTGGGATGCTGGTCAGTTGACCTACTTTTCACTGTTGGGTCTGCTTCTCTCTTTCCTCAAATGTTTTCCCTCAGCTATTTCTTCTCTCTGCTCTCTTGCAGCTGTCATTTCCCTCCAGTTCTTTTAAAAGAAGTCCTTAACATTCATTGGTCTCCACTTCCAGTGTGCCCTCGTATCGGTCAGGTAGACTCCATAATGTCACCCCTTCCTAGGTTTTACGAGTCTACCATTCATGAGAGAGAAAAGAAAACTACCTCAGTGTTTCCTTGATGACAGCCTTCAGCAAGGGCATCCTGCCCAGATCTTCAGTAGTGGGGATCTGCTCTTTGGGTACCACACGGACAACTTCTTGGAATAAGGCACCCTGAATCTCAGGGTCCTTAGCAAGATGGTAGAGAGTCCAGGCTAATGTGTTGGATGTCTATGAGGAGCAGAAAATTAAGTAGGAATAAAAAGCAAGAAGATCAAATCAGTCAATCCTAAAAGAAATCAACCCTAACTGTTCCCTGGAAGGCCAGATAATGAAACTGAAGCTCAAATACTTTGGCCTGCGAGCACTACGGTCGGGGACCCAACATCTCCTGATGATTCCAGGCCCCAAGGAGGCCAGGCTGGCCGCTACCAGGGCCAGAGCTTTTTCGGTGGCGGCTCCTTCCTGGTGAAATGAGCTCCCGAAGGAGACTTGGGCCCTGCGGGACCTGGCGCAGTTCCGCAGGGCCTGTAAGCAGTGTTCCCTCTAAGCTGAGTTAGTGTGAGTTAGCTCACAGTTTTTTCGCCTTCGGCTCACAGATTTTTGTCTCAGCTCAGGGAGGATGGCTCCAGAGCAAACTAATTTCCACAATAGCCAAATCGCTTGCTCACAACTTTTATGCCAGTAGCTCACAAAGCAGAATTTTTGCTCACAAGACTCCACAGCTTAGAGGGAACATTGCCTGTAAGATGGAGCTCTTCCGCCAGGCCTTCGGATAGGAGCCGCCACTATCGTACCATCATTATTAACTGGCTCTGGGAAGAGAGAACGACAGTCCCACATGGAACTGATAGCACTGATTGGATGTACCATCTTAGACATGCCATCTTGATGAAAGATTTTGTTTGGAACATCTAGAGCACTTAATATGTTGTAATTCTGTAATAATGGTTTTTATGGTTTTAACTGTTTTTATGTGTTGCCGTATGCCTATTTGTGAGCCACCCTGAGCCTGCGTTGCGGGGAGGGCGGGCTATAAATTGAAATTATAAATAAATAAATAAATAAAAAAGATCTGGTCCATGGGGTCACGAAGAGTCGGACTCGCCTGTGTGACTGAACAACAAAAACAAAAAAGCAAAGTAACAGGGAACCCTATCTAGGAAAGTGTACAGCAGAGAAGAAGCCTTGTTCCAAAAGGCAGCATCAGGGTTTCTTTTGCTCTTCTACTTCCACTTACTCTGCCCCTTAATCAAACCTGCATATAATAAGAGTTTAATTTTGTGACTCTCTTCTACTATGCTCCATCTTATGATTCTTCAAAGGAAAAAGCCTTCCTCCAGGGGTATGTGATATTTTCTTTTCTTTTTTATTCTTATTAATTTTTAATTTTTTACAATCATATAAAATATTACCTCAAACAAAAAAATTAACATCAAACATTAAACAATCAGCAACATAAACCACAAATACACAAACTCAATAACCTTAATATGAATTATACATGTTATAATAACCTTTTTATCCCTTGTAGGTATGAATGTTTTAAATAGGATTAATGCAATACGAAACCTTTATATTTGGCAGGAAGAACATTAAAATCTTTCTTTTCATTTTCTATATATTGAAAAAAGGAAAACCATTTCTCAAAAAAAATTAATTTTTTCTTTGAGCCGTTTGTTATGTCTTTATTTGTAGTACATTCCATATAAAGCTTAAGACCTGGACAAAGCATTGTAAGCTGGAACAATCCTATTGGCTAATGTGTGAATGTACCCAATCAGAGTGCAGAGAAATGTTCAGGAGGGAACTGATCTGATTGGATGCCATTGGTCTTTAACTGTTCTAGGGCGTGGCTACACCAGCCCGGGATAGTTTTAAAGGAGTCCTGCTCCACTGTTTGTGTTGTGTGTTCTTCACTGTTCCTGTTTGAAACCAATAAAGCTGATTCACTGTTACTTACGCGACGGCGTTGAGTCAATACTTGACACCGTCTGCAATTAATAATTGTGTAGCAATCTTATCAGAAATAATTACATCCCAAATCTTTTGGAACCATTGTCCTGTTGTTGGGGTTTTATCAGATTTCCAAAGTTGGGCAATTGAGTTCTTGGCTGCTATCAGTAAAAGAGACACCACCTCTATATTTTGCTTAGTCATTGAAATATTTTCCCAGTAATGCAATAAAAGAGATTCTGGGGTATTTGGAATACTTTGACCTGATATTTTCTTTATAATGGGTAATATAGTTTCCCAAAATATACAGACTTTTGGGCAAGCCCACCAGCAATGCAGAAATGATCCAATTGCTTTTCCACACTTCCAACATTGTGGGGACTACGGAATAGCCTTAATGGGGTCAGATACCATCTTGAAGGAAGTCCTGGCGGAAGGGAGTCACAGAATGCAGCCCATAGTATTTCAAGCTGGTGCTAATGTATATGCTATTGTAAAGCATCAAACGAGCCGCAGGCTCTTACAGAAAGCAAAAACGCAGAACTACATGGGCTTGTGGCCCAGCAAGCAGAGATGCTTGCAAACCGTCAGAGGTCACAAGCGACAGACTGAAGACCATTTAACTAGACAGACCAGTTGTCTGGCTCTGTAGAAGGCAGCTTCATATGCTCTGCTACACACCAAAGTGGTAAGCCTGTACACAGCGTGAATGTGACAAGCCAGTTTCTCTGTTAAATGGCAGAGCTTCCCTTTTCTTCATCAAGGGCAGTGGGATTTTCAAGAGAGCAGCCGCAGGAAAAGACTGCTTTGGCCAGCAAACTGAGACAATGATTGTAACCTCTTCGGCCCAGGCTCCGTCTTGTTCAGCAGCCCTTAAAGTACAATCCGTTTCCACCACCTCAACATGCCCTATCTTCCTGTAGACAAGGACTTTTAAAAGGCTGAAACTGTAGTATATTGAAAAGGCTTACATGAATCGCCGCATTGACCTCCCATGTTAAGCTTCGAGCCAGACGAAGGCTCCTCCAAACTGGAGCGACCAATCAGAACTGCACCTATTCCCTGAGCGGGAAGGACTCTCATTGGACGTTGTCTGAAAAACCTCATTGGTTGTTTATGGTAAAGAGGCGTGGCTACGTTAGCCTGGGAATGTTTAAAAGGAGCCTAGCTCCCAATGTTAAACTGTTCTGGTTATGACTTCTTACATGCGCTTGTTCGTACCTACAATAAAGCTGATCACTTTGGTTGAAATCACTCTCTGGATCTTTGTTAGCGGCGATCTAACAGAAACATTTTGGAGAAAGACACGTGCATCTTCCAGGTCCTTGCAGGGTGGGTTGCATCTTCCCTAGCTCCTCATTTACACCTCCCTCATGAAGGACTGCTTCATAGCTTTCAAAACAACATTTTTTCCTGAGAACAGGTTAACTTTTTGGATGCTATGCACTTATTTATTTATACCTTGCTGTCCCCCCAATGGGGATTCAAAGTGGCTCCTCAAAACAACCTCCTCCCCTCTTCTGTTTTATTCAAACAACAACCCTGTGGGATAGGTTAGTCTGAGAGAGTGACTGGCCCGAGGTCAACCGTGGCAGAATGGTAATTCAGACCTAGGCTTTCAAGATTATGGTCTGATGCACTAACCCAGGGATCCACAACCGTTTTGAGTCTTTGGGCTCCTTTGGACTTCTGACACAGCACGGTGGGTGCAGCCCACAAAATGGCTGCCAGAAGACAGCTGCTGCAGAAGGCAGAGCCAACCACAAAAAATGGCTTACATTCAGTCAGGTAGCTCACTTTCAGTGAGACAGTGAAGATCCTTGTGCTGTGTTGCCAGCTGCTGCCAAAGCAATGCATTTAAAGATCTGCACAAGCCAATCAAATGTCCCGTAGCCAATCAGAAGCCTTGTGGAGAAAAGCCCATCCGGCCCCACCCACTTTCTAACAACACTTGGTGGATACCTGGAGAGGCACCACATTGGTGACCCCTGCTGTAAACACACCATATTGGCACTTTGCACGTATAACGTGAGACACTTACACCTAATGGACCACATCTCCCAATACAGACTTGTCTTAACAGAGTTCCTTAGATGGTCTCCTCTTTGCCTCCCTTAAAATAGACTGCTCTTCAATGGCTTGGGGAAGAGCATGTTCAGTGCTTTGGAGAAGTTTGCCTGAAAAGGTTGGGACAGCACCTTTACTTCCTATTTTTTGTAGGGCATGTTCGGGTCCCCTATTTCAGAGAACATTCTTTGGAGGCTAATGAAGTGGTAAAACACTCTGGTAAAGGACTACAGGGGACCTTTGGGAATTTGAAATGTATTCCAAATATTTATGCATCATGTTAAATTATGCTGTTGGTTCTATTTGTCTTATTTAATTTATTCTTTGATTTTCCTTGCAACTTGCTGGTGCTTTGTAAAATGCTTTGACTCCTTGGGGGGGGAAAAGGCAGGTATAAATGTTTTTACAAACAAATATATAAATAACTAGCCTGCTACCCATGCTTTGCTACGGTATTTAAGTTCCGTAAATCCAATTATAATAGTGATGATATGAATTTTGAAATGTGACGTTTGTTGTAGGAATTCTAACGGAGAAGACTGTAGTGTAAGAAATTAAGTGAGACATACATACTTTTTTTCCCCCTCTCTGCTGAAGGACCTCTCTCTAGACCACATTGGTGGTTCTGCCCTCAGGTGCTAGGATCACCAGGCTGCTTGGTGAGCTCACTCTGCCCATTTAAGAAGCAGTCCTCTGTTAAGTCCACTCCTGCCACCTTCCACGAAAGTGATGGCCTCTCTACTTGTGTTCCTGGATTGTTGTGCTCATATGGAGACCGTGTTGTTCTGAGCACCTCAGGGTGATCCTGCTGGTACTTGGCCTGCGCAGCTCAGTGCACTGCAGGAGTACTATGTGCAAATCTTTGCCGCATTCCTAAATTGCCTCCTCCTTGTAGCGTTGGTGTATGTGGCTCGGCGTTTGCCAGGAGCTTCCTTGGGGGCAGTAAGAGGTGAGAGGCGTGAGGGGGAGTTGGTGTGAGGGAGTGGTGATGTGGTGGACATTTCTTCAGGTTCATGAGGGAGGCACACATCGAAATGGCTCCTAGAAATGTCCTTTACTGTCTCCCTATAAACATTCATACCCTGGCCTGTCTGGTGTTGGGGGGGATTGTATTTAAAGGCATCAGGGAGGCTGGGCAAGCAGCAGTGCTAAGGCAATCCTGCTGAGCAAATCTCCCCGGCAGCTGTAAGCATCCCACCTCCTCTCCTACACCTGACACGCAGCTGCCTGTCCAGTGAGGGAGGGGGGAGGAGTATTAGAAGCCACTAGGAGGGGGAGGGGGGATGAGTATGAGAAGTCACTGTGGAGGTGGGGCTGCACCTGACAGACAACCGCCTGTTAGGTGTAGGAGGTGGGGGAAGTGTGTTGGAAGCCATCAGAGAGGCTGGGCCAGCAGCTTTGCTTCACTTCACAGGTGGTTGTTGGCCACTCCTGATTTCCCCAACTGTCATTAGCTCTCTGCAGTCCCCTGTAACTGTTGGGTTTTTTTTAACCTCAGAACACTGAGCTCTGCAGCTGACCAATCAGAGAGTGGGGGGTGCAGAGAGGCAGCTGCCTGGCAGCCACATAGGAATAAATGGGGGGGGGGAGACATTTTCCCTCTTTTGACCCACTTAGTGGTCAAATTTCTAAAAATCCCTTCTTAGCAAGCACCTACGCCACAATAGGAGCGCTCTCCCCAAATCTGGTGTCTCTAGGTCTAGCAGTTTGGCCTGGCATTGATTTTACTGTGGGGGGACTTTATTTTATATATATATAGAAGGAGGGAAGTTGCTGGACTAATCATCTCTGGTACGGAAAAGAAACAAGTTCTTCCTAAAATTAGTATGATCCAGTGATTTTTTGGGGTATGTTGTAGGGCTAACTTTCAGCTATGCTCCTGCAGAGTGCAGGGGGTTGGACTAGATGACCTGTAAGGTCCCTTCCAACTCTAACATTCTATGATTCTCATGGTTAGGTTGGAGAAGGTGGCACCACCTTGGAGAGGGAGGCTGTACGCTATGGAATGGTTAAAGGACATGACTCCCTGCTGGGGAGTCCCTGCTGGGAAGTTCTAGATCAACAGATCAATGAGATCCAACAGGAACATGAGGATGTGAATTTCCTTATTTACTGGAGAAGGGTTATGGGGGCATTTAATGCAGGAGTTACAGATTAGCATAAGTGTATGCTGATCTGCACACAGATTACAGGATGCATGTACAATGCTGACTTCCAATGGAGTCGGAGGGGCATGATGGCAAAGGAATAAAATTACTATTTAAAGCCACATTATATAGTTTTGCAGGTGCTGTTCGTTACAGTGATATGGACTTTGCAGCAGACTGTTGGAAGGATTGTGAAAAGGTGCAGGTGTCAGCTAGCTGCCATGCTTTCTTCGTTTACCTTCATCCCTGCCTTTGCGCAACTGCACTTGCTTGCTTTGCTTGGGTACCGTGGCTAACATAAGGAAGGCGCTCTTTCCCCCCCATGCGAACTGGCTCAGCCAGATGGCGCTACCAGTATAACCTTGAAGGGAGGGGAGGGCTTGAATTCCACTACGGGTGTGAATATTTCTGCTCTCATGGGATTGGGGTGAGTCTCCCGTTCATGATGTAATTCCCGCCGGGAGGATTCCCGTGCGCGCACTTGGATTTCATTTGCTTTGCTAGATGCAGCATCATAGTATATATATGGAGCCCCTTGCAGTCATCGTTATTCCTGACAATGTACCTGTACCACTTGGCAACGGACTAGTATTCTAATAAAACATAGTCTTTCCAGGAGAGTGTGTTTGGACCTGTTTGCTGTTGACCCTGACAGCAGGCAAGGAAACCACAAAGATTATTCAAAATGCCGTTCAATAAGGATGATTGACTGGAAACCAAATGTCAGGAAAACAACTTCCAAAGATCTCTGCAGCACATGGCAAAATAATGTACAGGCCCTTTCTAGCTGCTGCTGCTTTGTGCAGTGCCACCTATGCAGATTGCTGTAGAAACATCTGAAGATCTGTGATTTGAAGCCAAGTGCCTTGCATTTGTAGCCAGAGCTTCTGCTAGCTAATCCCTGCCTTTGCAATGCTACTGTAAATGGATTCCTGCAAATAGGCAGCTAAAGCATGCCTGGAATAAGCCCTTGGAATCTAGTTTCCAGCCACAGTGCTACAAAAGAAAATCAAAACAAAAAAGAAAGAACGTACTGTGTCTACGCCAGCCATGAGTAACTCAGCCACACTTCCAGACACTTCCTTGATGGTTACTTTCCCACTTGACAGCAAGTAGGTTAGATATTCACCTTTAGGCTTTTCTCCTTTTTCTAGCTGAGCTGTGATTTCCTCCATTCGTTTGTCAATTAATTTTTGCCCTAAGAACCAAAGGATCACATCAGATGCTTTAAATGTCAGAGGCAAATCCAGTGGGTACAGTTTTTGTGGACAGAATTTCTATAATACTTCCAACTCTCAGAGACAGGCTAGTCTTTCCAATTTTCACTTTACACCCTCCAGCAGATGTACTGCTTCTAAAATGTTAACAACCACATAATACCCCAGAGAGCACTACGGTCGGGGTCACAACATCGGCTAGTGATTCCAGTCCCCAGGGAGACCAGGCTCGCTGCAACCAGGGCCAGGACCTTTTCAGTGGCGGCTCCTACCTGGTGGAACAAGGTCCCGGAGAAGATCAGAGCCCTGCGGGACCTTTTACAGTTCCGCAGGGCCTGTAAGATGGAGCTTTTCAGCCAGGCTTTTAATTAGGAGTCGCCACTACCACTACCACCAACTATATTGTTAGTAACAACAGGGTAATGGTCCGGCCCTATGAAGATTGAGCCACAGCATTGTGACAGATGGATTACCGCTGAACCGGGACTTTGTATTACATCTACACTATGCCATCTAAATTTGATTGAAGGATTAACATCACTGAATACTTTAATTGTAAAATATAATTGTTTTATTTCATTTTATGTGTTTTAATATGTTTTTATATTTGGCACATGGTGCCCTAAACTGTGAGCCACCCTGTGCCTGTTTGCGGGGAGGGCAGGATAGAAATATAAATAAATAAATAAATAATAAATAATGTACATGGGAATGTCAAGGAACTGATCCTGGAGAATGGCAGGGGAACCTTGGGGGAAGGAACAACAGGAGCTAGCCTATGCTCCAGCTGGAAAACAGAGCGAGAGAGCTTGGAAGAAGATAGCAGTGAATGAGGTAGAGCACACCTTTCATGGGAGCGCCTGGGTAGCTAAAGCATGTCTGGGGTGCCCGTGTCCTGTCTTTTAGTTACTTGCTGAAACATCACATGCTATGGAAGTCAAGGAAGCTGACAGTTTAAAACATGGTGTGCAGTCCCTCCCAGGGGTCATTTCGTAGAAAAAGAGGTGCAGGAGCTCATTAGCATAACTCATTAGCATAACTCATTTGCATATGCCACACACCCTGACATCACTGGAAGTGTGTCAGAAGGCACACTGCTCAGGCGCCATTGGACTGTTTTGGATTGCTAGCTATTGGGGGGAGGGATATGCAGATCTGTCCTTACAGAGGAGGGAGAGCTTGTACCTGAAGGCGGGCCGGGGGGGGGGGGCTCTGCAACTTACCTGGCTGCTTCTTGTTCCTCATGGCCCAACTGAGGGCTGCTGGGAGCAGGGGGTGGGGCTTGTTGCATGTGCCGACCCCCCCGGGGTCACTACTGCCAGAGCTTCGCACCTGTGCGCTCCTGCAGGAAATGTCCCCTGGTCCCTCCCCCTTCCTATCACCTGGCTTCTGAAAATGCAAGAGTTCATGGAGCAGAGGCTTCTTGTCTTCCAGCAATTACCATAGAGTCATGACTATATAGCAGGAAGGCATTGGGAGAAGGGAAGAAAATATGGTGCTCTCTGTCCTGTTCCTAATAAGGGGGAAAACTAGATGTTGGAGGGTGTCCTTTGTGGGCAGGTGGAGTAAAAGCTTCAATACCTTCCCTTAACTATTTATTTAGATATCTACATGTCTGCTTCTCTGTTGTTCATATCATACCTGAAGAAGTATACAATCCAGGACAGAAACCATACAGTTTGCAACAATACCTTCATATCCCAAAAAGCTAAAAAAAATCCATATTAAGAAAAATGCACACATTAAAAAACAGTATACAGGAAATAAAACACTTTCTGGAAAAGACAGGTCTTCACAGTGCTGAAAGGTCGGCAGTGAGGGGGGATTTCAATGCACTTTGTAAGGGAAAGCATTCCCTAGAACAGAGGAACTCTTGCGGTCCTAAAAAGGGCAGGGTGTGGAGCAAGGCCCTCCTACAGATCAAGCCCACTAATACGCTTGGGGCTTCTCTTACCAAAAGCAAAGATGGTATCCCAGCTCTCCAGATAGCTGTTCCAGAAAGGCAACACCTCCCGGGTCCACTTGGGCAAAGCATTGACAAAAACAAAATTCTTAAACATGAGGCCAATAGAATTTATGAAATCCTGGGTTTTTGCAGGTATCTGCTTTTGCAGGCAGCCAATGCGGGTCTCAAAGAGAATGTATGAAATGCCTGCCAGGGAGGGAAAATGAAAGAAGGGAACAAATGAGTGTTTATAGAAAAGAAAAGAAAACTTGTGACTTCCTGTTGTGTGAATTATAATAGGTCCAGAAGCTGGCAGTCATTCAGCCAGCTACCTTTACCTATATGGATCAGGTGGAGCAGTGCTAACACCACATCAGTGCTTTCCCCCAATTTGCCACACCCACCTCACTTCCTGTGCGAAAATACCTTCCAGGGCAAATCGATAGAGCTGGTTGGCAACATTCTGGACTACCACCCCACAAGGACTCTTCTCCCTCTCGTTCTCCAGGTGCACCAACAGGTCAGAGACCACTTCATTGATGGCATCTGCATACAACACAGCCTCTGAAGGTTTCAGCATCCTCTTGTTCAGCACCTGGCGTAAGTGATACCAGCGTTCCCCTTCCCTGCGGAGAGAGGTCATCTCACTTAGGTGCCATGTCAGGCAAAACCAGCCCAAAGAGGGAAGCTTCTCTCTGGCAATTTGGGAGAGGTGGGCTGAGCTAAGTCATGATGTCATTTAAGCCACTGTTTCAGGCTCCTCCAGGTCCAAAAGCATAAAATCTTAACAGAGTCAGGCTCATAGCACCGCCATGATTCAACATCCAAGAAACAACTGGAAAGCCTCTCCACTGAATCTTCCTAACTAGAAGCTGCAATAATTCAGACAGAAATGCCGAAGGGGTGGAAAGGGTATCGAGTGGACCACCTCCTTGTGGAACTGTTAATCCATGTCATTTATTGGGTAGACAAGAGCATAGAATCATCCAGCTAATACGTCCAGTGGTTATGAGCACTCACGCACCTTCAGGCTTCTTTGTGTTACATGGTATAATGAATACACATCATCTCTCTTCAGAACTACTGCTACCATCAATGGGGACAGAAGACTAAATCCACTGGATTTTAGAGAAACCCAATTCCGCTGCCCCACTACTCACTCTGTCAGAGGCCCATATGCTAGACCTCTCAAGTGCCGATGCTCCTTCCACTCAGTCATGTCACACCTCATAGGGTATTTCCCCTCCTGTCGCATCATCTTCTCCAGGATCTCAGGGGAAGCAATGCTAACAGATTTCTCTCTGCCTACGGCAAATTTCCACATGGGTCCATATAGCTTCTTATATATTACCTGGAATGAACCACAAGAATGAGGCAGAAAAGAACAGTAACCAGTTGAATAAACTCCCTTGCATTGATTAGAAACAAATCCCATCTCCTTCTGGTCTTATGAATGCATGGGTTAACCTCTATGAATTGACCCCACTCCCCTCTAACCAAGATTCTAAACCTCAGTGAATGAGCCAGGTTTGTACATATGTCAGCTTAACCACAGTTCAGCTCATCATCTGAATGCAGCATCAGTTTGAAAATATGATGTTAGAGCAGCCATTTGACTCAGTTTCACTTTTAGACCATATCCTTTTACAAATGGACATAGTTCAAGATTCACTTACATTTAGAAATAGAGGGCAAAGTAAAACAATGACACTGTAAATGAACATCAATAAACTAGGAATAAGGCCCGTTGTGGAAATAAATACAATGAGCTTTAGAAAGAGATTCTGGGCAGGTGCCTTGGCCTTTGGCACTCAGCATCAATTTACTGTGACAACCTGAGCAGGGTATGATGACACAGAACTTACCGTTTTCTCAATCTGAAGAGCAGCTATAATTTGAGTGATCTCCAGCCCTCCCCTGGAGATTGACAACAATGGTTCCCCAGGAGGAAATGGCTGGTTTGGAGAATAGAGTCTATGGCATTGTACCTGTCTGAGGATTCACCCCTCCTCAAACCCCACCCTCTCCAGGCTCCACCCGTCAAATCTTCAGGAATTTCCCAACCTGAAGGTGGGAACCCTATCTCCTTCCCAGCCAACCATCAGCCTACCTTTATCTACCCTGCTGACTTCAGCTTTCCATCTCCCCCCCACCTGCAGCCTCTGCCTAGGAAAACTACAATTATTCTGTCTGACGCTGCACAACAATCTTTCTCCACAGTTGGGACCCAAGGAGGAGGGAAGCAACCTCAGGAGGGTATAATGACACAGAGTCCATCCTGCAAAGCAGCCATTTTTTCCAGGGGAGCTGATCTCTGCCATCTGGAAAGCAGTTTTAATTCTGAGTGATCTTACCTGGAGATTGGCAGCAATGGTTCCCCAGGAAGAAAAGTATGGTCTTTTTCTACAGTGGAAACCAAAAGCAGCTTACATCATTCTCCTCTCCCCCTTTTGACCTGCACAACAATTCTGTGAGGTAGGTTAGGCTGAAAGTCTGTGACTGGTCTGAAATCACCCACTCAACTTCCACAGCAAGAATCTGGGTCTGGCAGACCCTGCTCAAGTGCTAACTGCTACGTCTATGGTAGCCAACCTCCAGGTGGAGTGTGAAGATCACCAGGTATCAAAACTGAACTCCAGACAACAGATCTCCTCCCCCCCAGAGAAAACTGCTTTGGAGGATGGGCTCTATGGCATTCTATTCAGCTGAGGCCTCTCCCCTCCCCAAACTCTGGCTTCCATAGTCTCCACCACAGAATATCCAGGAATTTCCCAACCTGGAGCTGCAACCCTAGTCAGGATGGGCCTCAATGCGTTCCCCACAAAGGCCTGGAAAGGGCCTCTTGTCTTTGCCTTTTTACTGACAGAACCAAGCTTGGTTGCCTAGCAACAGCCACTGAGGGAAAAGTTAGTCCCACAGGAGCCAAGCAGAAGTGTTTTTGTCAGAAGAGACAGCCGTTTTGGCAGTTTATTCTGTCAGTGCCCAGGCTGGCGGTGGGTGGGGGAGAGGAGTGGACCCAGCACCCATCCAATGGCACGTGAATACTCTTGAGTGGTGGTTGATGGGCCAATGGCTGATGGAGCGCACAGCACAGCTAATGGGAGAGCTGGAAATGGTCAATGCCTTAGGGCAATTATATATATCAGATGAACATACACTGTGAACAATGAAGAATAATTGTCATAAATGGAAGTGATATTTAATCCCCTCCCACTTATCTAAAACCTATGGAAATGCTACTGAAAAATGCTGGAAGGATAAATGATCAGAAGTGGCTTTTATTCATTCACAAGTGGTGACCTGCAATACTTGCAGGAGGGGATCCCTCTCCCCACCTTAAGTTACCACCGTTGCCTATGGGCCCAGTGCGGCTCCCAGTCTTTGGCACTGGGACCTCCATAACGTCTTTTCCTCCCCCATCACCACCACCACCACCACAGTTCCCGGCAACCCCCAGCATGGCTGATGACAACAAGCCCAGTGTACTTCCCAGCCTTACCATTGGGCCCACCACAGCTTTTTCTCCCCCCCCCTCCATTGCCGCTGTCATTCCCAGGGCTGCTACAGTTCCCACGCCCCCGTCACTGATAACTCTGGCAGGCCCTGTACAACTCCCAGCTTTGCCCCACCACAGCTTCCCCTCCGCATTGTCACTGCCACTGCTGAGTCTTCTATAGCTTCCCTCCAGCACCACAAACCTTGCTAGGCCTGGTGCACCTCCTGGATGCCACTGCTGCCCCCCCCCGTAGTTCTCCTCTCAATGTCGCAGCAGTTGCTGGGGCCACCACAACTGCCGCCCCCCCCATTGCTGACACCACCGCAAACTGGAGGAGGTAGTTTGAAGGGGATTTAAACCCCCAGTGTGGGGTGTTTTTTTTACATTTTCAGATTTTTCTGCAAACCTGGGTAGTCCCTCAATTTTGCAGAAGTATCTGTTTTCTTTACCTGTAGCCCTGATCTGCAGATTTAGATATCTGTAGATGGGACCACACTTTCACTATTAGAATATACAAAGGGGGGGACTCATAAGGACCCAGGGAGCACCTCATTTCTCCCTCCCCCAAGAGGGACACCCCAGTGAACCCCCCCAGCAGCCAGCGAGCAGTGGGCACCCAGCGGGACAAGGAGGCAAACCGCCAGAGCCAGCAACATCAGAGAGATTCGATGTCATGCCTCCGCCACCTCTGTATGCCAGCCCCTCAACGGAACAGGCAGACTCGGCTCCAGCAACCACAGCCCCGCAGTCAGAACCGCGGCGCTCGAACTGAGAGCGAAGCAGACCGGCATACCTCAGAGACTTTGTTTGTTAAGGCTGCTCTGGACTATGGGGGGAGGGGTGTTATGTACTGAGCTTGTGTTTCGCCTGAGCACGGGCTTTGTTCACAGAACAATAGGGGGCCAGGATCCCGGAAGGAACCTATTGTACAAGTGTTCTTATGTAAATAACCAATCACAGGGAGTGGGCGTGTGTTGGGTGTGGTGTTGAGCATGCATTCAAGCAGGGCTTCGGTCCGGCTTGAGTTGTCTTTAGGTTGAGCTGAAACCACGAATAAACTATGAGCTGATCACTCCATGCCAGTATATTTCCAAAAAGGAACTATATTTGTTTCTGTATTGATCCAGGAATAAAAATCCCACACCCCCACACAAACATATCCTGTTGCCACCCCTAAGATCAACGAATAATGCATGCTGAACGCCCCTACGACTTTTTCTCTGCCTGTCCAGCTTCAGTAGCAGGTGCTAAACTTAAGTGGGCTGATTTCACTTTACCGCAGTAGGGAAGGGGCAGGGGGCCCGTTGGGTTGACCCTAAAGGGAAAGCCTTTCCACCTGGAAAATGCATCAAGTGCTCAGAGAGGTTTCTTGGCCTGGAATTACACCTGGGTGACTTGATTTCTGCTCATCCAGCTGCTCACATTATTATAGGGGGTGATTTTAATGCACGTGTGGGCTCAAATGACCTTTGCTTTCGCGATAAGATCAGTCCTGACACATCAAGCGACCTTTGTGACCCACTGTTGCTAGACAGATTTTCAAAAGACATGAAAGCCAAGTATGCAGGTCTCCTTTTCAAACAGTTAACAACTAGAATAAACCTCAAGATTTTAAATGGGTCATTCCCCAGTGACCATCCTGCAGAATTCACATATTGGCCAGGCTCTAGGATGAGTGTTATTGATGATATTTCGGTCTCAGAAGAGCTCCTGCGATTTGTTGTACATTTTGAAGTGGCACCTTTCTGTGAGAAGGACCATTCGCTTCGAGTCCTGAAAACAGCTATATAAGATCTAGCTCAGCATAGCCACCAAGGGCTGGCTCCCACCTACCACTCTGGGTTCTGCCAGCACGGCTTGCGGGCAATCGAACCCCCCATAGCCTGTGAGCAGGTTGTGCTGTTTATCAAACAGGCTTAGAGTCCCCACTGCATCCTTTTCCCGTCCCCGAATACCTGCAACTCATGCATATGCAGAATATAGCCCCTGAGCAGGAACCAGTACACGAAGCTCCAGAACCCGACACCTGGCAAGTCTTGGAAAGTTTTGAGACGTGGTGCTCCAGCCGCAGTGGAGGCGACGGTGGCCTCCCTCCTCCTCTGGAAACAGATCCCGGTCCATTTGGGTTGCGATGAGCTCCATCCAGCCCACCGAAGGACTCCGCGGCTCAAAACCCTCATCGCAGTAACGGAACGGGTGATTTGCTTCTCTCTTCCCCGGAAGTCTCCCAAACAACTAACCCTGGAGCTCCTCCTATGGGCCTACTGAGAAAATTAAGGCCTTCCTTGCAGAGCCTGAGGGTCCCTGGTTCTTTAACAGGAGACAGAAGACAGGCCTTGCTGGGACAGATCCCAACGGTGACATCCAGCAACCAGGATGGAAGCGAAAAATAAACGGAAAGCTTCCATCAAGTGGATTCCCCCTGCCTCCCCCCTTCTCTACTCCCCAGGCTACAGTACTACTGAGGGAGAGCAGCATCACAAACCTAATTCACCATCCTGGCTTCCTTCCCAAGGATATTATATTGTTGCTTACTTATCATAGAATGTTAGAGTTGGAAGGGACCTTGCAGGTCATCTAGGGATTAACAATTAGAGAATCACAGCACCTTCATAAGAACATAAGAGAAGCCATGCTGGATCAGGCCAGTGGGGCATCTAGTCCAACACTCTGTCACACAGTGGCCAAAAACACCAGGTGCCATCAGGAGGTCTATGAACGGGGCCAGAACTCCAGAAGCCCTCCCACTGTAGCCCCCCCCCCAAGCAACAACACAGAGCATCACTACCTCAGACAGAGTGTTCCATCTATACCTTGTGCCTAATAGCCACTGATGGACCTCTGCTCCAGATGTTTATCCAATCCCCTCTTGATGCTTGTAGCCGCCAGCAGTTCATGAGGCAGTGAAGTCCACCTGTTAATTACTCTTTGAGTGAGGAAGTACTTCTTTTTCTGTTCCAAGCCTACTGCTCATTAATTTCATTGAGTGCCTATGAGTTCTTCTATTGTGACAAAGGGAGAAAAGTACTTCTTTCTCTGCCTTCTCTATCCCCTGCATAATTTTGTAAATGTCTGTCATGTCACCCCTCCATCATCATTTGCCCTAACCTCTAACTTTTCTTCATAGGGAACATGTTCCATTCCCTAAATCACTTTGCCATTTTCTGCACCTCTTCCAATGTTATCTTTTTTGAGGTGCAGTGACCAGAACTGTACACAGTATTCCAAATGAGGCTGCATCATAGAGATTTATACAGGGGCATGATGATACTGGCTGATTTGTTTTCAATCCCCTTCCTAATAATTCCCAGCATAGCATTTGCCTTTTTTATTGCAGTTGCACACTGAGTTGACATCTTCAGTGAGTTATGTACCATGACTCCAAGATCTCTCTCCTGGTCAGCTACCACCAACTGGGACCCCAGTTCATAAAACAAACTGGCATAGAATATACCCATTACCAAGGCAACCCCGACCTTTGGATAATGAAAATTAACAGCTCATCTTCCCTGGTTGTCTTAGGTAACTGGCAGGGTCACATATCTAGGCGTGTCCACTTATGGGCTCCCACAGTTCCCAGTGACCAGTTAGTGGCATGTGTGAGGCACAAATCAAACCTTCTCCATTCCACCTGCAACCTTATAAAGATATATTCAGTCTCACCCCTAAACCTGGTGGGCAGATTCCATCAGCACAGTACAACCTGGTTCTCACTTGCATGGATGGAACACTCTTGCCCTGCAAGAGCCTTGCGCAGCATCTATACGTGGGGATTCAGGGACTTGCCCTTCAATGGCTTGCCTCTTTTCTCCAAGGTCGGGGACAGAGAGTGGAAATCGGGGAACAGCAGTCCCAGAGGCACCCACTTGAATGTGGTGTTCCTCAGGGGGCAGTGCTTTCCCCGATGCTCTTCAACATCTATATGCGCCCTCTCGCCCAGATTGCCAGGAGGTACGGGCTGGGTTGTCATCAGTATGCAGATGACACCCAGCTCTATCTGATGTTGGATGGCCGGTCGGGCTCCGACCCTGAAGATCTCCAACAGAGACTACAGGCTGTGGCTGAGTGGCTCAGGCTGAGCCGGTTGAAGTTAAACCCAGCGAAGACGGAGGTCCTGGGCCTGAGTCAGAAGGGTTTGGGGTTGGGGCTCCCTCTCCCGACCTTCGATGGGGTACCTTTGGTGCCTACGTCGGAGGTTAGGAGCTTGGGAGTGCTCCTGGACTCCTCCTTAACAATGGAGGCCCAGGCAGCAGCCACTGCCAGGTCTGCATTTTACCATCTGAGGCAGGCTCGGCAGTTGGCTCCTTTCCTCGACCAAAGACCTGGCTACAGTGATCCATGCGATGGTCACCTCAAGGCTAGACTACTGTAACGCTCTCTACATGGGCCTGCCTTTGTCGCTGATCCGGAGGCTGCAGCTGGTGCAGAATGCGGCAGCTAGGCTGCTGATGGGCCTCCCTAGATGGGAGCACATCAAGCCTGGGTTTAAGGCGCTGCACTGGCTGCCAATAGCATACCGAATCCGCTTCAAAGTGCTGGTATTCACCTTTAAAGCCCTATATGGCCTGGGTCCGACCTACCTGAGGGACTGCCTTTCCCCGTATACACCCCCAGGAGCACTTCGGTCAGGGACCCAGAGCCGTTCAGTGGTTCCGGGTCCCAGAGAGGTACGATATGCTGCGACGAGGGCTAGGTCCTTCTCAGTGGCGGCCCCTACCTGGTGGAACGAGCTCCCGGAGGAGATCAGGGCCCTGCGGGATCTTATGCAATTCCGCAGGGCCTGCAAGACGGAGCTCTTCCACCAGGCCTTTATGTAGGGGCCGCCGCTCCCACCACCACCAACGGTGGAAATACCATCAAGTTGGAGCGCCCTTGATAGCCCGGCGACGAGGTGCACTACATGAACTATACGGCAGCAAGACCAGCTGATTAACTTGGACTAATATTGCAGAACAATATTATTACAACTACTGTTGACAGGGAGTATTCCCTGTAGGAACCAACTGCAGACCATCTTGGAATTTATAGCATTTTATTATTATTAATAGTAAGTTATTGCTTGTGATCGCGATTTTACTGATTTTTATTGTATTTTATGTATGGCTTATGCCTCTGTAAGCCGCCCTGAGCCCGTTCGCGGGGTAGGGCGGGGTAGAAATACTTGAATAAATAAATAAATAAATAAATATACATACGGCTATGGACTACAAATGTACGCTGGACTGTACAATAAGTGTGCCAGGGCATTGGACTCAAAGATGGTGCCAATCGTCTGGACTGTAGACACGTGCCCAGCCGAGGGAAGCCTCGCCCTGAAGCAGTGTGCCAAGCCAGACAATGGACCCATGGAATACCAGATGCCTCTCACCCCTGCAGGAGGCAAACCAACCTCCCTGACACCAGAAGCACACAGAAACCAGCAGCAGTTCATTATGGAGCCGTGCTCTGCGAAGGAAACCTGAAAGTTCCTGCAAAGACTCCATAGAAAAACTCCTTCTCCATCACACAGGCGCTTCTCCCCCCCCCCCTTTCCCAGATGCTGCATGTACTCTCCATTGTGAAACAAAAGGATTTATGCCATGAGAGGATTAGGCAGCTGGCAGGTCCACCCTCTGCCTATTCTGATAACACAGCTGCCGATTGTTGGGCCACGACTAACAGCCATCCAAGGAGCTGGGACATTATTACTCTTTTCTTTCTTTCATCTTTCTAAAGGTGTCACCATTAGTTGGATATCATTGCAATTGCCCAACCATTAATCCTATTCTCCTGGTCATCTCCTGACCATTAGTAACAGGATTTTTCTAGATTTCCTGGGGACTACGTGACTGGTAAAGCATCCCCCCTCCCAGTCATTTTACGGTTTATAAAGAGAGCCTCTCCCCATTGCACTCTCTCTCTCACTTCCTACCTACTTGACCCCACCCTACCTTGCTGGCTCCATTTCTAGCACTGTTTGGAGTCTCCCACGTATGTTGCTGGTCAACCCACAACCCCTTCCCTAGTACTTTCCATATTTTCGCTGCAGGATCGCCTCATCGCGTCAGACAGGTAAAATATCACCCCCATCAATACCTTCCTGCTAATGCAACTGTCGCTGTACCTTTCTATCTAGCCTCCTAGTTCTGCATCGTTTGAGTGATTGTTTTATTTTATATTGTATGTGTGTGAGAATTATTTAGTAAAAGAAATCACAGTTATGATCTAGCATCTACGTCTGGGGATCTGGATAAGCTGGACATAGGTTAAGGTAAATGTTCCCTTGTTCGACAGGTAAAATATCACCCCCATCAATACCTTCCTGCTAATGCAACTGTCGCTGTACCTTTCTATCTAGCCTCCTAGTTCTGCATCGTTTTGAGTGATTGTTTTATTTTATATTGTATGTGTATGAGAACTATTTAGTAAAAGAAATCACAGTTAAGATCTAGCATCTACGTCTGTTTCTGGGGATCTGGATAAGCTGGACTCCGGTATACATAGGTTAAGGTAAATGTTCCCTTGTTCGAAAGCCAGTCGAATCCGACTCTAGGGTTGCGGTGCTCATCTCCGTTTCAAAGCCGAAGAGCCAGCGCTGTCCGAAGACATTTCCGTGGTCATGTGGCCGGCATGACTAAACACCAAGGCGCACGGAATGCTGTTACCTTCCCACTGAAGTGGTACCTATTTGTTTACTTGCAATTTCTTGCTTTCGAACTGCTAGGTTGGCAGGAGCTGGAACTAGAGACGGGAGCTCACTCCGTCATGCGGCACACTCGGGTCTCGAACTGCTGGACTACCGACCTTCCACAGCCTGCAGTTCAGCGTCTTAACCACTTGAGCCACCGCAGCTCCAAGTATACATAGGTTATTGTTCCCTTAATTATAAAGCCATTGCCATTTAATATTCAAATTCCCCACATTAATAAATTAAGGCAATTTGGCTAACAACATATCACAGGTTTTGCTGATCTCCCTTCTCCTCCCTCAAGCACTTGAATCTGACAAAAATTTTGAGTGGAGTAGGTACTTTTTGCCTTCCCCCTCCTGCTGCAATCCAATGGTCTTCCTGAAATTTGTGACAGTCAGGGAATCCCTATAAAGTAAGCACAGAAGGCAAAGCATGGGTCTATTTTGCAGGATTTCCAGTGGGAAGGGGGAAATCATCTGAAATTACCCTCTGACCCCAACAGCCTGAATTCCACTTAGGCTTCAGTGTGGAATTTGTCACTGTGGTGGACAGAAGGCTGTCCTGCCCCTGAACGGGGAAAAAGCCACTCACCTGAGCTCATGGGAGTGCTGCTCCAGCATCCAATCACGTTTGAGAAGGGTGTGTGTGTGGAATGTTGGAGGGGAACAGTGTTCCCTCTAAGCTGAGCTGGTGTGAGCTAGCTCACAGTTTTTTAGCCTCCGGCTCACACATTTTTTGTCTCAGCTCAGGAAGGACAGCTCCAGAGAAAACTAATTTATGCGGTAGCCGAATTGCTCACTCACAACTTTAAGGCCGGTAGCTCACCAAGGAGAATTTTTGCTCACAAGACTCCACAGCTTAGAGGGAACATTGGAGGGGAACACAGCAGAGGTGGAAGTTCAATTCTGCCTCAGGAAAGGAGCAAACAAAGAGAAGGGTAGCTCTGCTTGGTAGTGTGGCAGAGTGGTTTGGCTCTACTTCTAACAGAGAACAGAGTGCCCAATTGTTAGGCCTGTCTCTGGCAATGGACAGACCTTGTCTGACTCTTGGGAAAGGGCTGGCTGCAGGCCCCATAGCCAGAAAATTTGCGGCGCGGGGGGGAACGTGCCTATGTCACTTTCAATGTCACAAAAAATAAAACAATAAAATAAAAATAAATTAACTAAAAGCCCCCTCCTCACACCAGAAACCAGGGCTATTTTTGGGCAGGAACGCACAGGAACGGAGTTCCAGCTGGCTCCCAAGTTGGCCACGCCCAGCAGGAACTCATTAGCATAACAAGCCACACCCAGCAGTAGAAACGCATTAGGATTGGCTACATTAGGGGTGTGTGGCCTAACATGCAAAGGAGTTCCTACTATAAAAAAGTCCTGGGTTTTGACAACAAACAAGGTAAACAGAATAAGAAGCAAAATGTGGGTGTGGCTGGATGACCACACTTCTAGTAACATGGGAATGCGGCCTAATATGCTAATGAGTGGTGCAATCAGGACGAGAGAGGCTGGTGGGCGTTAGAGGGAAGAGCCATTTCCCGGGTAGAGGCGCCGAGGAGGGAGCATGGGGGCTGCCGGGGCACTGCGGGCCGCCCTCTGGGGCCTGCTCTTCCCGCTGGTAAGGGAGCGCGGCTGGGCTCTGAGAGCGGTGGGCCTCCCGGTGTCTTCCGTTTTCAGGCCGCGGGGAGCGCGGCCCGGCCTTGTGGGGCGGAGTGAAAAAGGGCTGTGATTTGGTTGAACTTCCCCCTGAGTGGACAGCGTGGGGGTGGGCGGGTGCCCGTCTCTCCGAGGTGGCGTGAGGCGTTCAGATGGGTCAGGTTTGGCGTACTGCAAACATGCAGTCACAATCCTGGTGGGAATTCCTTCTCGGGCTAGGCGAAGGAAACCTCAGTGGCCGCAAGAAGTGTGTCCTGTCTCCTGTGCCTGTCTGAAGGTGGGAATGGCCGCGGCCTGCCGCCTGGAAGGCTATCCTGCTGGCCCACTTAGGAGACGGACTAATGGATTAAATGGGCTTTTGGCTTGGGAGTTATTGTTGGGGCTATTTTTAACTCTGATAGTGAACTTGCCTTCCAATGCAGGACAGAGAAACGGGGCCACCTGCTGACAAAGTGAGAGTCTGTGCATACTAAATACCCTCTCACCAATGCAGAAGAATCGCAGAGTTTGTAAACCTCTGAATGCCAGGGCTAGGAGGCATCGTCCGGGCAGGCCTTAGCCTCTGTGTTCTGTCTGTCAGGGACTGGTAAACAGGGATAAATAAACAGGAAATGACTTATGTAGCCCCAAACAAAAATAGTACAATGCAGAAGAAGGAGCATTCGGTCCGTGGTTAGCCAGTCTTTAAAACAGGATGCAAAACTAGATGGATCCAGTAAGGCATCTCTGGTAAGATTAAGACAGACACAGTGGCCCATACCCCATATATGGCCAAGTGGCCACAAAGAAGGCCCATTGCCCTTTGTGAGCCAAGAGAGATGTGAAATTGACCTCCTTAAATCCCTTGCAGTATCCTGAAGGAATCCGTGGCATGGAAACAAGCATCCCTCCCTTAAGTACAGTCAGATCCCACCATCTCCTGCCAGATTGTGTGTGTGTAAAGTGCCATTAAATTGCAGCGGATTTAAGGTTAGCCCATAGGCTTTTCAAGGCAAGTAATTAAGCAGAAGTGGTTAGCCATTGCCTTCCTCTGCAAAGTCTTCCTTGGTGGTCTCCCATTCAAGTACCCACCCTGCTTAGCGTCTGAAATCTGATGAGATCAGACTATGGATGCTTTCACACACACTAAGTAACACGCTTTCTATCCACTTTCAATGCACTTTGCAACTGGATTTTACTGTGTGAAATGGCAAAATCCACTTGCAAATGGTTGCTCAAGTTGATTGAAACTGCATTATTTAGCATGTGTGAAAGTGCATTGTTATACAATTCCACATATACATAGAAATACTATACAATTCCTTGCCAGATTCGGATGCTATACATTTTATCTGCTCTGACCATTCTGAAATGGAATGCAGGGGGATTTATTAGGATGTGAGGAAATGTGCTTCTGGAACACAGGAAGTCTTATACTATCAGACCTTTTGGTCAGTTGAGGTCAGGACTCTCTTCTTTGGTAGTAGCTATCTAGGGTAGTGGTCTTTCACCTCACCTGCTACCTGGTTGTAACTGAGATGCCAGGAACAGAACCTGGGCCCTTCAGTACGCAAAGCAGATGCTCTGCTGCTGAGTTACAGTTTTGCCTCTTCCTCCAGTCCTAATTAATAATCTGCAAAGGAGGCAGATTCCTGAATCATAGTATCCAAGAATGGGGTGAAATTAGGTATGGGGGATGTATACTGTGTCGCTCACAAGGAGCATCCCCCTCTTCCTGTCACATGACTCTGATATAAGAGTCATGTGACAGGAAGAGGGGGAGCTGGACCATAACCAACAGACCGAAAGGGCCCAGGACAAGAAACAAAAAACAGTCATCAAGAGGTTCCGGTGATGTCAGGGAGTGTGGCCTTATGACACACTTCCGGTGATGTCAGGGGGTGTGGCATATGCTAATGAGTTATGCTAATGAGCTCCGGCAGCTCTTTTTCTACAAAAAGACCCCTGAGTTGAAGCAAAGGTCTGGGAGCAGGCTATAACACTCTGGATAAAAATTCATTACAACCCGAAGGGTTTAATACCTTACCTTTTAGCCTCGGACCCTTACCCTGCCTGGTCCACACAAATTCTTAATAAGTTAAATCAGATTGGCCTATTCCCAGGCGATCTCTTCTATAGACGCCTATACCCCGCAAAAACAGCTGTCGCACAGAGGCTTCGTGACACTGAATTACAAAATGAAGAAGCTTCACTACCCAAGAACTTCAGAAATATAAAATCTTGGCCTAATTTTACTGCTGCCCCTTATTTAGTTAACATTACCTATGAGCCCTATAGATGGGCCTTTTCCAGAGCCCATTTTGAGGCACTCCCTTCCGCTGTACTGCAAGGAAAATTCACTCGAGTCCCAATGCGTGAACATACACGCCCATGCATGGCTAATACGGTGGAATCGGTTACTCGTTTTAGCTGAAAAAATTGTATGAGTCTCTTATTAATATTATTTTATTTTACTAGTTTTATTAATTTTCAATTGTTAATGCTTTTATACTATTGCTATGTTATTACTGTTTTAATCCTTCTTCTATCAGAATTGTACTGTTTTACTGGCTCCTGCTGCAATAGATTAGATCAGACCGGAAAGGGACAGGAAAGGGGACAAGATGCAGAGAACGGCCGGGCGCCTCTCTGCACCTGCGCAGCCATCACAGAATGCCCCACCCCAGCGCCTCACTGCACCTGCGCAGCCAGCCTCCCCCCCCTGCTCTGCTTTGGAGAGTCGGATGCCAGCAGAGCCCTGCCAGGCTGCAAACAGAGAGGTGGCAGCTCATACAGGCTTGGGGGGGGGGACTGGGAGGGATGGGCAGGGGGTATCACCCTCGAATGCCCCCTGTGGCTACGGGCCTGGCTGGCATGAAAGGAATCCTATGTGTGTCTGTTGGATCCAAACTAGTAGCTAATTGGTAAAAGCCTCTTTATGCTTGGAAGTATTAAAGAACATTGAAACTACTCTCTAAATTGACATGCCTCAGCCAGGTTTCATGCCTCAGCCGGGTTTCTCTTTTGTCTATCTGGAGACCTGGAAATCTACTTGTAAATTTTAAAAAATCTTCATTGTTCATATATAATTCCTGCCTCAGTGACCTCCATATTCTACCTGTGCACCATAAAACTTACCTCGATGGAGCGAATTCAAAGCCCACACACTCGCTACTTTTAGAACACTTGGTATCTGAGGGGAAGGTTTATAGTTTAAAATAAACTTGGTTCCCCCAAAATCATAGGAGGCTGTGTGGGCCCCCTCAGTTGACAGATCAGAGTCACTACTCAAGCTATAGAATAATTGAGAGTCCATAATGAGAGAAAGAGCTCACGGTTAAATTACATGCATTTTCCCCACTAGTTTCAGATTTTGTGGCTGCATGACGTAACAGGCGATGTGCCCAAAACGGTCTGATCTTGTATAAATATGTACCTCCACTGATGGGTCCATGTTACAGTACCTAGTTGGGGAGAAGCCTGCTAGCATTCACACTGTCACATATTCCCATTTTGGGAAGATGGATGGGAAAAGTGTTTGGCTTACTCTTTTATTTTCCCTGACAAAAAGAAGACCTCATTGAGGTCAGCAAATAAACACCATTACACTCATGCCTGGTATGTTTTGTGTGAACTGGCTCTGTGACAACTCTTCCCCTCAGGAATGTTGCCTGCATAGTTTTCTCAGTGCTTGCCCATGGTCAGGATACAACAGCATGCATGTTTTGAATGGCTCCCTCTGGATCTGCCTTGTATTGCATGAAATGGCCTTGCACTTGTGCAGCACTGATCTGTCCACAGACCACCAGGGCTCCTTCAGCAAACTGCTTGGCCATAACTTGTGGTTGGTCTGGGTAGAACCTCTGGAACATGCGTCCAAGCTGCCACTGTGAACAGTATCCCACGTATTGCTTCAGGTCTACTCGGCCAGGACGAACCAAAGCTGAATCCAGCCTGCAAGGAATGAGAAGAAGACATAAAGAGATTGCTCCAGGAAATCTCAGATGGCAAACTGAGAACCATTCTAAGCAGAGGACTGATTTTTCTCCTAGATCTTCCCTCTAAACTTTAGAGGAGGAACATCTGTATGTATTTAATGTGTGAGTTTGTACACGCTGCATATGGCAGAATCTGTCATCTTTTCAAACAGCTACCATGAAAGGGAATTAAATTGCTAGCTTTTATGACTACAAAGTTCCTGATGACTCTTCCCTCCTTCTATTTAAAATTAATGCTATTTGGACCCCAAAAGGTGGGCTTTGCCACATCTTCTAGTTCTGGAGTTGCACTCAAGCTGCTCTTCTGTTTCCCCTTGCAGTGTTCTTTCTCCATGAGCTACCAGGCAACTCATACAGTTGTCTCTAGAGAGCCTGCTGTTACAGCAACACATAGGGGAACCTTGTAGTGCATGACTTCTCCTAACACAGAGCTACAGTATTAGCTGAGCAGGGGGATTTTCTTGGTAGCTGGATTGTACGTTATGGGTTACACACTGTAGTAATTTGGCACCAGTGGAAGAGGAGGTGATTACATGGATTCTCCCCTCCCATTGCAAACCGCCACTTTGCCCTTCATGCTATCACTGAGTGTCCCCTTTTCCCTAGGAGAAGCATTTTGTGGTCGTCACTGGGTTGAAGGATACAATAATGTTTTAGTCTGCTGATGCAAGTGCCTTCCTTCCATTATTGCAAAACTACTGCTGGATCCAGCCCAGTGTGTATATGGAGGACTGGTTGTGGAATGGATTTAATTATGGTGTTAATATTGTCATTGTGTGTTGACTGACACTATCCATGGCACGATATTTTGACTGGTGGATGGTGAAAGAGTTACAAAGGACTCTTTGGGAGTGGCAGGAATGTTTTTGCACTGCCTCTTTTTCTTCTTCCTGCTCTTATTGTGCTTCTGATTTATCTGCTAAGATGCTAAAGAATCTCTATTATTTACAGTGACGTATGCTTGCCCAGGTACAATGGTAGCCACCTTAGCAGAACCATAAGATTGTCTTATTCAAACAATAGGTTGCCTGATTCCCTACCCTGTTTCCCAGTCAACAGTTCTTTTCTTTTTTTAAAAAAAATTCAATGCCAAGTGAGACAATCCAATATTACAACTACAAAGAATCTGGAAACATACACTTTGTGAGTTAAAAACTAAAAAAGTCAAATTATATTAACTAAGATCAGAAGTGAACCAATGGAAAGTAAGATCTTTGGGGCCACCAAGGTCAAGCCTAAAGCAAAAACATTAACGGATCATAACAGCAACAGATTGAGGGGTTTTAAAGCCCTAGGAACAATTTTGTTCTGAGCAAGATAGTTAAATGCAGGGAACCACTTCCTTTTAAAGTCCTTGTATAAGGAGATTTTGTCAGAGTAACAAACCTGGGCAGTGATTGTTTCCATTATAAATTGTTCCCAGATTTTGCAGTGCCAAATTGAAAGGGTGGTACTTGAAGAAGACTTCCAAACATGAGCTATTGCTAATTTGGCCGCAGTTAAGAGAGTAGCTATGAGGTCTCTCCAGTAATTTAAAAACAAAATTTCTGGGGTTAGTAGGATTTTGTGACCAGTAATACAGGCAAAAGATCAACAACCTCAGATATGCAGATGATACCACTCTAATGGCAGAAAGTGAAGAGGACCTAAAGAGCCTCTTGCTAAGGGTCAAAGAGGAGAGATGACAGACTTCACGTTCCTGGGATCCAAGATCACTGCCAATGGTGACTGCAGCCATGAAATTAAAAGACGTCTGCTCCTTGGGAGGAAAGCAATAGCAAACCTAGACAATACAATAAAAAGTAGAGACATCACCCTGCCAACAAAAGTCCGTATGGTCAAAGCAATGGTATTCCCAGTAGTAATGTATGGCTATGAGTGTTGGACCATAAGGAAGGCCAAGCAATGAAGAATATATGCTTTCGAATTATGGTGCAGGAGAAGACTCTTGAGAGTCCCTTGGACTGCAAGGAGATCGAATCAGTCAATCCTAAAAGAAATCAACCCTGACTGTTCCGTAGAAGGCCAGATACTGAAGCTGAAGCTCAAATATTTTGGCCACCAAATGAGAAGGGAGCACTCACTGGAGAAGACCCTGATGCTGGGAAAGACTGAAGGAAAAGGAAGAAGGGGACGGCAAAGGATGAGATGGTTAGACAGTGTTATCGATGCAACAAACATAAAATTAAGCAAACTCTGGAGCACGACAGAAGACAGGAGGGCCTGGCGGGATGTGGTCCATGGGGTCGTGAAGAGTCGGACTCGACTGTGTGACTGAACAACAACAAAATACAGGCAACAGTTCTGACCTGTCCACATGGTTGGTGGTCATGAATACTATCCTGGCTTCGGAGGAAGCTACACCATCCAGTGCGTTGAGAAGGCCACTAAAGGTCAAGCGTCCCATGCCTTGGTATGTATTGGGGTCTAAATAGAAACATAGCACAACAAAGAAAGCTTAGAGGTGGAGAAGTGAAGAATTAACAGCAAAGGTACAGTTGCAATCTTCAGTCTGCTTTATCCTCATAATATCTGCACCATTTATTTATTTATATTTATTTATATTTATATTATATCCCACCCTACCCCGAAGGTTCAGGGTGGCTTCCCTAGAAGGCCAGATACTGAAGCTGAAGCTCAAATACTTTGGCCACCAAATGAGAAGGGAGCAGGATTTGGCAGTCGTTCAGTCATGGGCACTCTCTGCAGTGGGTCCATTCCTCTGGAATGGCCTACTAGAGTGCAGCCGGTGCCTTCACTTGCTGTGTTCAGGAAGGTGTGCAAGACCTGGTGGAGGGGAAACTATTTTAGCTGCATTAACACTGTACTGGCCTTTAACTATATGTTTTTATTCTTTACCAGTGTAAACTTGTTGGGCGCTTGTGGTGGCTGTCTCCTCCAGCTTCTGCTATTTTGTTAGCTGCCTCGAGTTTGTTGAGGCAAGGCAGGGCGTAAATATTTTAAATAAATGAAACAGATAATACTATTACTATTTAGAAATATATAAATATACCAGGCCTGCCTGAGCTCTGTCTGGGTTTAATAGCCTTTCAGGTGAAAAACTGCTGAGATCTGCTTCAGGCTTTAACGGCGGCTTTAAGCTCCATGCCTGATGCACAATGACCTGCAGGTAATAGCCCAGACAGAATACTTTCAAAGGAACATGTGTCAATTGTGTTATATAACAGAGCAGCATTCTCCTTGGAGGCAGAAGCAGTAAAATGGAGACACCCCCACCCCCCTACCCCATTGTACATGGCAGAACATGGTGCTGCCTGGATTCTTGCTGGGGATCTCCTCCACTGGACGACGCAAGGAGCTTGTCCCAGACTCCAGATATCTGCTGAATTATGGGCAGTTGTGATTTGGAATGTGTTGTGGGCTGGCATTGTAACCTGAGGGTATTCCAGCATCATGGCCACCACTGCACCATCTCAGCGTGAGGCTGGACACAGGTAATACTGCAGAAGAGAGCACAGGCACTGGCAAGATCTGGCACCCCCTTGAAGCTCCTCTTCAAGCCCATCCTCATCACCCCCCTTCCATGTGAGAGGTTGTGGCCAGCACAGAGACAGTTGCGCCACAGCAGCATTTCATACGGAAGTCTCCATAAGATGCTGGGTAGGCCAGGCTTCATTAAGTTACAGCATCGAAGAAGAGCACCTGGCACAGCAGCGCAGAAAGGATCCAATTTGCCCATCACTCACTTTCAGCAGCCAGGTCTCGGCTGATGAAGGCAGCATCCACGTCTTCCAGGAGAATTAAGCTCTGCTGAGGTGCCACACTCAACAGGTGGTTAAGGCGGTCATCTGAAAGGCTGCGGTCACTCAAGCTGAGAAGACAGATGCTGTACTGCAGTTCCCCAGCCAAGGCTGTGCTGTGATGGAGAATAACAGTGTCAAACAGAAACCTGCGTAAAGAGAATCCGGCTAAGGAGAACGCTTCCTGTCCTAAGTGATAAGAACTACTAGCACTGGCCAGGAAGGGAGGCACGAGAATCGCATTGCCACTCATCTCCTACTGCCTCACTATTTTGACCCTTAAGAAATTATTCTGTCATTTGAGTGCAGCTGTAATGAAGGAGATGACAAAAAACCAGCTACAAAGCAAAGAGCAGGGGAAGGAAGAGAAGAAGTATGAAAACTGACCACAGGACAAAGAAAGAGAACTGTAGGAAAAAATTATACTGTAGAAACAGTGGCTTGAATCCAGCGCAAGGAGTCTGCGAGGTCCAGGCAAGGACCCCTGAGTTTCCTGGCTCCTCTCCCAAAGTCATTTCCAGTTTGGTGTAGAGCCAGTTTGGTGTAGTGGTTAAGTGTGTGGACTCTAATCTGGGAGAACCGGGTTTGATTCCCCACTCCTCCACTTGCACCTGGCTGGATGACCTTGGGCAAGCCTTAGTTCTGATAAGAGCTGTTCTTGAAAAAGAGCAGTTTCTGTTAGAGTTCTCTCAGCCCCACCTACCTCACAGGGTGTCTGTTGTGGGGAGGGGAAAGGAAAGGAGTTTGTCAGCCGCTCTGAGACTCCTTTGGGTAGTGAAGGGCGGGGTATAAATCCAATCTCTTCTTCTTCTTCATTTCCCACCTTGGAAAGGTTTGTTTCTGGGGTCACAGGAATAACAGCCATGCAGGTCCAGGGGCTACAGTGTCTATCAGCAGAGCACCACTCACACAAGAATTGCTCCCTCCTCGTTCCATGCTGCTGATGGAATAAGGCAAGGGAAAAATTTTGTGCCCCTCTCCAGCCTCCCAACCTATATAATTATTACTCCATGTGAGTTCTGTGACCCAACAGAAATTTTTCTGGGGTCAGCAATGGCTCCTGGGTGTGAGAGGAGAGCTGGGGACATCAGTGATGGCCAGCGCCTTCTGCTGATGGATCATGGGATCCATATATAATGGCTGTTTCAGGACCAAACTAGAGGGAATTACAGCAGTGCCCGCATATTAAGCATCAAACTATACCAGTTGCACAGAAAAAGGGATGAGGGGGTCTGATTTTTAACAGCTGTCGTCCCATCAGCTTTGGCCCTCAATAATTAGTAGATGAGGTAGCATTAGAAAGCAGACTCACAGCCTAAGCAATAAAGAGTCCTATGATATTTGAAATTCTAACAAACTGATTGTGGCTCAAAGCTTCCAGACAGGGCCAGATTTAGACTTGCTGAGGCCTTAAGCTATACAAAACCCAGAGGCCCCCTACTGTTTTAAATTACAACAGCTGGTCTCAGAAAAATTTAAAATATATACGCCTTTTTAATATTTGAAAATATATTGTCTTTTAATTTTTATTTTAAAAAACTAATAAAGGATGTGTTTACAAAATCACGGAAATAATTACATAATTAAAGGATTTTTAAATGACAAATAAGGCTCCAGCAGATTGGGAGGCCCTAAGCTGTAGCTTATTTAGTTTATGCGTAAATCCAGATCATTGTATTTAGCACTGCTTCCAGATCATTGTATTTAGGGTCAGATGGACACTGCATACATCTTTTCCTGTAATACGTATCACAACTGTACTGCTTGGGCCTTTTCAGTGTGAATGAACTCTGTGCTACATGTTCTTTGGCGTGGTACCACATACTTGTTTCTACTGTATACCTCTGATGCAAGGCCATCTTGATTATACAGGCTAATCCGCTAGGATACTTCGACATAACCAATTTTGCCTCAGGGCAAAGGCCAGGAACGGATGGTCTTTAGGTCCACTTCCAGCTCTCTGTTTCTATATGGCTCTATATGACAAGAAAAGGGGTTTGGGAGGAAATAAGTACAATTGCCTAAAGTGCAGCCAGAGTGTGCGTATTGAATCACCCAGCTTTTATCTTTTAGGTCCCAAGTGGAAAATCTGTACTGTTTTAAATATTCCAAAACATAAGGTATTTCCTGCAATAGGCTATACTCCTTCGAGTTATGTACCAGTACTCTGCTCTTGTGTGCTTCTGTAAATTGGAATACAGAGCAGGCTTTTGGAATGAAAGCTGAGGAAGTGATACTCACATGAAGCTACTCTTCCCACAACCTGGGGGCCCATATAGCAGGTATCCTCTCCGATAAGGAATACCTACAGAAGAAAACAAGTAAGAAGACACCAGCATACACTAAACTCAGCATGTCCCTACCACACTTGAGCTACGACTACTATATTCTAGTTGGCAAAGAATTCCTTTAGTGGCTCTGACCAACGGTCCTCTGAGCCTGGTCATTGCTAATGGCCAGTTTCAAGTGCCATGGAAGAAATAAGGTCCAAATGAATATAAAGAATTTTTTCCCAACCATGCCAGTTCAAAAGTAGTATCTCAAAACCAAGAACACAATCCACATAATACCTTTTTATTAAGGACCAAACAAATGACCCATAACAGTGTGCAAACTTTTGAGTTCTCCAAACTATTCTTAAGGCTGGATGTTACCAAAAAAAAGTCAAATAAAGGGTTTAGAGAAGGAAAATGTCTCAGGACACAACGTTAAGTTCTGTTCAAACCAATTACACCGCATAGGAAAAACACCCTGACCTGAATAGCCTACACTAAACCAATTTCATCCCATCTTGGAAGCTAAGCATGGTTGGCCCTGGTTAGTACTTGGATGGGGGACTACCAAGGAAGTCTGTGAGGTAGCAGGCCTAGGGCTGCCAAGCTGCGGCAGGGGATCTGCACGTCTTCACAGGATCCCCGCAGCGGGGGATAGCGATACGCGTTGCACTACCGTCGCCAGGATGTGACGCTATGCGTTGCTCTGACAACGGGACTCCTAGGTGGCAGGGGGCAGGGGGCACCCTCCTCTGGTGGGGTGTGCAGCGGAGGCATCGGCGGTGACGGCAACGGAGTGGCGACGGCGGAGCGGAATGGAGTGATGGAGTGGCTGAGGAGTGCCCTGTGAGCGCAGCGTTGAGTGGCAGAATCCGGCAGAGGCGGAGTCACGGAGGCGCGGTGGCGTGTCGGCGCAGCGCGACGGAGCCGAAGGGACAATGGTTGGAGCTGCGGCGGTCGTGGGACCGTGCACCGGATGAGCCAGCCAGAGGAAGCCACTGAACCGGAAGAGATCCGTCCCAGGACACTGGAGGTGGAACACGGACATCCAAGGCCACCGGAAGGAGCCAGACAACAAGCCCTGCTCCCGGGTGCTGGTAGGAAGTCACCCCCCTCTATGATTGTGGCCCTAGTTAGGAACCAAATTGTGTGTAAACCGCTCAGAGACCCTTCGGGGTTCGAGCGGTATATAAATTGAAGGATAAAATAAATAGATGGAACACTATTCTGGGGCAAGTGATGCTCTGTATTCTTGGTGCTTGGGGGGCAAAAGTGGGAGGTCTTCTGAAGTTCTGGCCCCACTGGTGGACCTCCTGATGTCACCTGACTTTTGGCCACTGTGTGACACAGAGTGTTGGACTAGATGGCCATTGGCCTGATCCAAAATGGTTTCTCTTACGTTCTTAAGTCCAGGGTTGCTACATAGAGGCAGGCAATGGCAAACCACCTTTGTTCGCCTCTTGCCTCTAAAATCCAATGGGCTCCCCTGAAGTTGGGGGTGCCTTGACGGCCCTTTCCAACACCAGGAAAAATGAAGTCCAGTGAATGTCTCTAATAATTCTCTAGACCTCTGAGATTCAAAATCTCTTTTAGGATGAGAGCACGTAAATCACTATTGTATTAACTCAGGAGAGAAAGTTAAGGGGTTGCATGAGGTAAAGAATGAATAAACCATTAACTTCTAACAGGGCCACTAGGAAGGACAGCTGTTAATGTTCGTCAAGAACATAACATTGTGATAAAACAGGATGAATCTTAATAGGTAAAGGTAAAGGGTTCCCTTGCTCGAAAGCCAGTCGAATCCGACTCTAGGGTTGCAGTGCTCATCTCCGTTTCAAAGCCGAAGAGGCAGCGCTGTCCGAAGACGTTTCCGTGGTCATGTGGCCGGCATGACTAAACACCAAGGCGCACGGAACGCTGTTCCCTTCCCACCGAAGTGGTCCCTATTTATCTACTTGCAATTTCTTGCTTTCGAACTGCTAGGTTGGCAGGAGCTGGAACTAGAGACGGCACACTCGGGTCTCGAACTGCTGAACTACTGACCTTCCACAGCCTGCAGTTCAGCGTCTTTTTTTAAAAAATATTTTTATTTTGTCTGCAGTTCAGCGTCTTAACCACTTGAGCCACCGCAGCTCCTTGAATGTTAATATTTACCAACAATTTGCACAGTGCAAAGACTGAGAGTCTCTCCCTTGGAAATCAATGGAAGTCAGAATTATAAGGACTGAAACAGGTCAGCATAGTAGTACCTGAGAGGAAGCAATGGATTGGAACTCCAGGAGCTCCATACAGATGGCAAAATTGGGACTGCCAGAGATGATAGGTAAAGACTGAAGAGCATCAACAGAACTATGGTAAGCCCACTGAGGGTTGAGAGCTGGCATGTGGGAGCTACTAAGTACTTACACAGATGCAAGGATGCCCTTGACAGGAACTGCACAGGGACTGAACACTGGAATTTGTATGCAACTACAGCAGGTTAATGGCCCTATATATGACATCAATTATGCTAATTTAGCCCACAATGGAAAACACCAAGAAGAAGAAGAAGAGGAAGAGATTGGATTTATACCCCACCCTTCACTTGGAGTCTCAGAGCGGCTTACAAACTCCTTTCCCTTCCCCTCCCCACAACAGACACCCTGTGAGGTGGGTGGGGCTGAGAGAACTCTGACACAAACTGCTCTTTCAGGAACAGCTGTGCCAGAGCTTGTGGCTCACCCAAGGTCACATCAGCAAGTGCAAGTGGAGGAGTGGGGAATCAAACCCGGTTCTCCCAGATTAGAGTCCACTCACTTAACCACTACACCAAACATGAAGGGAGGTGACAAGCAACCCCTAATGAATACACTTGCCTCGTTCAATGTACCACTTGGGGTTCCCGATGAACTCTTTCACATCCTGCACAATCCTCTCCGAAACACCTTCATCGAGCACCACGGAAGTCAGTGGGCGCCGGCGCCGTGGGAAACCAAACGGCCTCCATTCAGCACCCATGGCAGTGTACATGACCGTCTTTCCTTCTTGCTGCCTCAGGGCCAACTCTTTGGCTATAAAATGAGAGCAAGGGGCTCATAAGACTTGTGAAAAGTGGGTACACAGAGGCAGAGGGTAGGAGGGAAATGCCACACTGGTTAATTATATCCTGTTCTCCCATTCTGACCCGACTCTTAGTGGCAAAGAAAGTTCATAAAAAAGTGAGGATGGAAATCTGATAAGGCTGGTAAAGAACGTTTTGATTGGAAGTAGAGCAGTCAGAGCAATGGTCACAGTGGACTTTAATGCAAATAGGACATTTTAAAAGATTATCCCCACTGATCCAGACAACTCACTAAAGTTCAGATTGCAACACTCAATCAACTTCAGCACATAAGTAGGAGTTGCTACGGTAGACTGTAACATTCTTGTCGGAAATCCTTGCAGGACACAAGGCATGGTTACTTCAAACTCTTTAAGATATGAATGATCCTTTAATGGATGTCTTATGGTTGGAACTCTGTTGTTTGAATATGAATGAAGAACTGGTGAAAGTAAGAATGTGGATCTGGGTTTATAGATCTGTAATCTCCTGACATGGCTTTTCTGAGTCTGACCTAAACTCAGAAGTCTTGCCTGTCAGGAAGGATAGGGTGCCTGTTAGCAAAAAGCACTGTTTAGGAAACATCCTTCTTATTAGTTGTTTGCTTGTAGGTAAGCTGCGCTCACAAAAGAAGATGAAGAAACGGCTGTGAAACCTCAGCTGACCAGTAATTAGGCAAACTGAGTTGACAAATCATACAACTTGATGGCCATCACTTCTGTCCAAAAAACATGCTTAGCCAGTGCAATTAATCTCTGGACTGATCCCTTCTTAGCTGCTGCATCCACATACCTGCACAAATGCATCAACAAACCTAGAGTGTTTTTAACCCAGGGCAGAGTGTCTGAACATATTTCTTCTCCTTCAAGAACTACAGAAGTTGTAGGGCTTAAACTCAAGTCAATGGGAATCACGAACTTCTCAAACAACAACAACAAGGGACTGGGGTAAGGGCAGTGAAGGGAATCGGTCCACTTAGACAAAAATCCCTGGTGGCTGCATTTCCACTCTTGCTTTGAGCTTCACCCACAACCACAAGGTTCTGTTGTACCTTCCTGGAGGATGTTGAAGAAAATCTCTTGGTTGCTGCCTACTGCTGTAAAGGTGACGGACTCCCATGGGGTGCCTGTGTGCAAGTCAATCATTTGTTTCTCCCGATTCCGTTCAATGCGGATCCACTTCCTTTGATACCTGAAAACACACAGAGAAGGTAAGCAAAATGAGAGGGGAGACAACTGGGCAGTCTCAGGTGCAACTTGCAAGTCTGCAAAGTTTATACCTCTTTTATAACCCCCTTCCCTGTCAATACATAGAACTGCCGCAAACTAAGTAAGGACTGCCCTTGTTTAGGTATCCATGCTCAGGACAGACAAAAAGGAGGACAGGTAATGGTACAGATGCAAGAATGGGTTTTTTACATCTCCCCCTACCTCCTGAATAATACGAACTTGAAAAACTCTGATGAAAACAACAGTCTGGATCAAGAATAAGGTAAAGGTAAAGGTTTCCCTTGCTCGAAAGCTAGTCGAATCCGACTCTAGGTAGGGTTGCGGTGCTCATCTCCGTTTCCAAGCCGAAGAGTTAGTGCTGTCCAAAGACATTTCCATGGTCATGTGGCTGGCATGACCAAACGGCAAGGCGCACGGAACGCTGTTACCTTCCCTTTGAAGCGGTACCTATTTATCTACTTGCAATTTCTTGCTTTCAAACTGCTAGGTTGGCAGGAGCTGAAACCAGAGACGGGAGCTCCCTCCATCATGTGGCACTCGGGTCTCGAACTGCTGAACTACCAACTTTCCAGTCTGCAGTTCAGTGTCTTAACCACTTGAGCCACCGCAGGCCCACGGATCAAGAATAGTTGCAGCTAAACTGGGCCAGACCAATGCCCCAGGCCACAGTTCATTATCCCACTTCCAAAAGTATTAGTATTTAATGTCTGAATGGACATACAGAAGAAGCTACAGGACAGTCAAGGAACAATGGCTTCCCAGTCAGTCAGTGCCCATTCAGAATCACTGTAAGTTACCTTTCAAAGCACACAAACAGCTTTTTAGTTACCTATAAAAGTGATTGCTCTTTCACCAGCGCGGTTAGAAGCAGCAAAGTCTAATCTGGAGAACCAGGTTTGATTCCCCACTCTTCCTCCACATGCGGCCTGCTGGGTGACCTTGGCCCCACCTACCTTACAAGGTGACTATTGTGGGGAGAGGGAAAGAAGGCAATTGTAAGCCATTTTGAGACTCCTGAGGGTAGAGGGAAGTGGAGTATAAAAACCAACTCTTCTTCTTCGCCTTCTCTGTGACATCACAGCCGCTGCTCTCCTTCATGTGGGTCACGGTGACCCAAAAGATGTATTTTTGTTTACTTGTGAAAAGTCCCTAATTGGTTTAAAACAGTTTGAATTCTAAACAAGTCTGGGATATTGACATCCAGAGAGATGCCAGTTATCTGGAACCAGATGAGTGTAATATAAGGAGAGCGAATTTGCCAGCACCCAAGGGGAACAGTTTCCCAAATGAGACTAGGGGCCTTCTTGCATTAGGGCATGCAGTGGCTTCCAGTCAATGGGAGTGTGACTGACCAAATTTAAGTTTCTGAGGCATGATCATGATATTGCAGAGGTGGGTTAGCAATGTGGTGAAGTGTTGGCAGAATACTGGGGGTCAGCCAATAACTGGGATATAACCAGCTAGGTCAAAATCTATAGTGGTCTGGAAGATTTCATCAATCAACCCCAATAAGAAGGGTTCACACTCCTCATGACTGAACATCAAATAGACATGATGATGTTGGGGGGTATGCCTCAAGTATACAAAAGTTGGGTCACACTCTAGGAAAGAAGATATTTCTTCTACGCATGCTATTTTCTGTATTTCTATCTTTCAGTTCTGTTCTCTTTTACGTCCCTTCCCCTCCTTCTGTTGAAAGGATCGAAGATTGTCACTAGAAACCTTCCAGCCTGACTGCTCCAAGCAGGTGAGAATTAGCCAGCTCATTTGCTTGTTGTTTTGTTTCTGGAAATTGTTTAACTTTATTAATTAATGCAGGATTAGCATGGTATTAACCATAATTATGTTGTAAAACAATAATAATCCGAAACAGAGTCACACCTTTCTAATCCCAATGAAGCTTACTTATTCTGTGTGACCCTTTTCAAACTGTGTGACCCTTTTAGTAATCCACTAATGTGATTTATTTACCTGTTCATACAAGCCTGCTTGTGTCGGGTTAGCAAAGTGTGGTTGAGCTGCTTTTGAGGGAAACTGCTTTTTTCCATTTTCAACCCCTTCACTGCGCTTCTGAATTGCTGTGGTGTGCTGTTTAAAATGTCCATAGTGTTTCCTACAATGCCGCTTTCCCCCCTCCCTTTTTCATTGTGCAATCTTCCTTGGACTTTTAAAAAAATGTTCTAAGGTGAGCGCTATAGCACCACCCCTGAGATGCATTGACTCAATGCAGTCAGTGCATCTCAATGGTACTGCTGTAGCGTTTTAGTGCTATGGTGCTCACCTTAGAACATTTTTTTTTAAGTTTGAGGAAGATCGCGTGGGGGGGGGGAAATGGCACTGTTTGAAATGACCATAGCTCTTCAGAAACAACTCATTAATGGAAGGAAATTCGCTGTACGAAATCCCTATCCCTGTATTGCTTTACTCAAAACTGGGCCAACAACGAATAACATCCAGTTTAGAATGGTAATGTTAAAAGGGCCAGTATCTCAATAAAACAGAAAATACTTAAAGACATCAACATGCATCTGAGTTATTTTCCAAGTTTCCCACTCTCTCTGTGAGGACCAAAGATCCCCAGGAAATTCATACAAGTTTGTGGGCTTGGAATAAGAATCTCAAAATCACATCAGTTAATGTTACAGAACTGATAAAGTTAGAAGACAGACATGAATGTCATCTAAACTTCCTCCGCACAATGGATTCCCCCATCTTACTTTAGAAGAAGACAGAACCCAGGATGAGAAGATGTTATGTCCAGCTAGAACTCACTCCCACTGCATGCAACAAATGGACTCTCAAGTATGTTCTCAAATGAACCCGCCAGCTCTGGGTGCTCCCCCCTTCCAAGGTAAAGTGGGTTGTAACTGGTGATAGGGCCTTCCCAGCCGTGGTACCCCATCTGAGGAACTCCCTCTCCCTCTCCACACATCCAATGCGAATTCTGTGGTTTCACAGAAAAACGGTATTGCTTTCCCAGGGTTTATCACAAAAGAGGTGATTTTGCTGCTGCTAACCTTAATTGCTTCTCTTTAATTGTATTTTCTGTTAAATTATCATGCATATTACATTTTATTACTTTGAGTGGCCTTATAAATAACCTTGAGAGCCTAAAACAGACAAAACCAAAGGTGCAATATAAAAAATTCCTTGTTGTTCCATCTCTTCAGATTTAATCCATACAATAGACAGATAAATCATCCTGCATACATAAAATAAGCATTTGAGCAGTTTTTCCTACATATGTACATCGTAGCTGCTGCAAATGCAACATACAGAAAGGCCTTGAATGATCACAACTGTATATTGCCACCCTTCCAAAGGATTATATTTTACGAGGATGCTGTTCTTCTAATTATTTCACTTACTGCACCTTAGTAATGAGGGATAGATCAATGCAAAAAAATCTGGACACACATGACCCAATCAGTTAAACAAATATAGAACCAACAGTCCTATCTGAATTTAATGTAAGTTACTACTAGGTTGATTAGTTGTAATTTGAAATATCTCATATGTGTTCATAAAGGTAATATTACTATGTTACAGATTCTTAAGACTTGTCTAACATTTATGAAACTGAGAGCTTTGGCACCACTATGTAAGTAAGCACTAAGATTATTGTATTGTCTCTTGTTACTGGTGTAGCACATATTCTAAAAATTGTATTTTTGTACACTACAGAATATCTCCTGAGGAAGATCCATTTTTTTTGAAACACTGTTATGTAATCCGGAGACGACGTTGATTATGTACCTTGGTTCAAGGATTTTCTATTGAGTTGTGTTTCATGTTGTAGTGCTTTAGATTGCAATACATAAACAGCATTCTTTATAAGTCTTATGACTGTTTGATTGTGGGTCAGACTATCACGACTGTTGGCTTTATACTTGTTTAATAGATCAATGCAGCCATTACGGTGACTGTTCTCCACGCTGTGCTGGTCGCGTATGCAGACATTCTTGGTGCTAGTGTAAGCACATGTGGACAATCACAAAAAGACTCCACCCCTTCCTTGTAAGCCATGCGATCCTCCTGCCCTTCAAAAAGACACTTCTCTTACCAAATGAAATGGTTCCCTGGACTGGGGATAAATTCAAACTTGGTGCTGACACGGCCACTTTCATGCTGCAAGTAAGAGGTCTCCACGCTCAGATGCTGGGTGTGCTTGGCATGATGAGAGATCCAGCTCAGCAGCCAGTAGTAGCTTTTGTCCTTGCTTGGTACCTCCAGAGTGATCATGCAATGCCGTCTGAAAGCCACCATGCCAAACTGGGCCCCCTTGCGGGCCAGAGCCAGTGCTGTACCCACACCCACCAGGCCGAAGCCGGCCCCAAAGTATGGATTGTCTTTGAGTGCCAAAAGAAAGTCAGAAATAGGCATTGTGGTAGATGGCGAGAAGGAGGAACTCCAGTGTTAAAGAACAGTTCTCAGTGGCATTTCTTCTAAATATCTTAACAAAGCCTGCATAAGAAAGCAAACAGATTTGAAGGAACATGGGTGACTAATGTCTTGGTTATATGCCTACTTAAATCCATAGGAGGTAAATTAACCAATCTTTCTTTTTAGTCTCCCCCAGTCACTTCACTTAAAATAGGACGCTGAAATAGCATTCCCCAGTGGGAAGTGAGAATAAAAGTACAAGTAACTATGGAAACAAAAGCTTAACCGTGGCACTAAAGCCACTTACTCCTGCTCCCAGGGCAAGCTCCCCCTCTATGGTAATGTGAAGAATTGCAAAGTGCAGCTGGTACCCTCACCATTCTGTTTGTCAGACGAAAACTGAACTTTCTCCAGTTTGCTTAGAGCAAGGACAGTACAAAAGCTAAACTTAAAATACCTACCACATGACACTGTTAACTCTGTCTGATAAATCTGTACCATAATCAGCAATAAAACCCTTCAAAGATACTCCACTGTACTTGCAAAACACTGGCAAATTTCATCACTCCCATTTCTTTTAAATCTGACTATATCCTAACTATATCCTAACAAAACAAAACAAAAAGGCAATCCTTACCAAGCAGATTTAACTGTGCATATATTAAATGTTAACACATTTAACATTACAGCAATACGCTCTGCACAGGGTTGCTCTTGAAAAGTGTTTAGAAACCAACTGCAACAAAGTGCTGAAGGCAGGATATTGACCAGAGTCGGTTGGAGGACTATATGATTCCAGTTTTGGTCCACCTACACTGCCTCCTGATTTGTTTCCATGTCCAATTCGAGAAGCTGGTGCTGACCTTTAAAGCTGTAGTGTATACAGTTTGAGACCAGCTACTCTACTCCCATACCAACCTACCCAACCACTATAGTTATCTTCTGAGGTCTTGCTTTGGGTACCCCTACCTTCTCATGTAAGACAGGTGGCCTTCTCAGTCGCAGCACCAACACTGTGCAACTACTTCCCTGGGGATATTCATCTGTCCCTCCTTCTGTCACAGTCTTCTGGCAGTGGCTGAAGACTAACTTTCCTCACTGAGTAGTTATGAAAATAACTTGGTGGAACAGTAGATGTAATTTAGATTTTCCAGAATCCAGCACAGTCCAGATACTGGTTGCTGCTCTGCCCTCGAGGACTGGAATCCTCATAAAGTTTTCTAAAACTTTAGGACAGGCAAGCAAAATTCCTCCATTCAAAAAGAAGCTCGCCTGAATCTGTTCCACTTTTTTCATACAGCACTGATGAACATAAAAAGCTGATTTATACTGAACTAGCTTGATACCCGTGCTTGGCTATGGTATTTAAGTTCCGTAAATCCAGTTCTAATACTGATGATGTAAAGTTTGAAATGTGACATTTGTTGTAGGAATTCTAGTGGAGACGATTGTAGTGTAAAAAATGAAGTGAGACATATGTACTTTTTTGGGTGGTTCTGCCCTCAGGGGCTAGGATCATCAGGCTGCTTGGTGAGCTCACTCTGGAGCAGGCCACATAGAACTGCCTATTTAAGAAGCAGTCATCTGTTAAGTCAACTCCTGCCACCTTCCACGAAAGTGATGGCCTCTCTACTTGTGTTCCTGGATTGTTTTGCTCATATGGAGACTGTGTTGTTCTGAGCACCTCTGGGTGATCTTGCTGGTACTTGGCCTGCACAGCTCAGTGCCCCACAGGAGTACTATGTGCAAATGTCTTTGCCACATTCCTAAGTTGCCTCCTACTTGTAGAGTTGGTGCATCTGGCTTGATGTTTGCCAGGAGCTTTCTTGGGGGCAGGAAGAAGAAGAGATTGGATTTATACCCCGCCCTTCACTACCCAAAGGTGTCTCAGAGCGGCTTACAAACTCCTTTCCCTTCCCCTCCCCACAACAGACACCCTGTGAGGTAGGTGGGGCTGAGAGAGCTCTTCACAGAGACTGCTCTTTTTCAAGAACAGCTCTTATCAGGACTACGGCTTTCCCAAGGTCATCCAGCCAGGTGCAAGTGGAGGAGTGGGGGAATCAAACCCGGTTCTCCCAGATTAGAGTCCGCGCTTAAGCACTACACCAAACTGGAAGAGGTGAGAGGTATGAGGGGGAGTTGGTGTGAGGGAGTGGTGGACTGTCCAGTGTAGGATGAGGGAGGGGGGAGGAGTATTAGAAGCCACTGTGGTAGTGGGGCTGCACCTGACAGACAACCATCTGTTAGGTGTAGGAGGTGGGGGAGTGTGTTGGAAGCCATCAGAGAGGCTTCGCCAGCAGCTTTGCTTCACCTCACAGGTGGTTCTCACAGAGCCCAATGGACATCCTACTTCCCCACTTCTCACTCCTTCACAGACCTATTGTCATTGCACATCACTCAGAAACCAATGACATTTTTCATTAAGTGAGCAAATCAATCAGTAAGCCAGCAACTATAAGTTTGTTTTTTATGTTTTATAATTTGGTATTCATGCGAGTCCATGTTATCAACATGATTTTGTGTACAGATTTTTGCACAGCTTTATGAGAGGCCTAGTTTTTCCCTAACATTGTATAATGACCTGATGTAACCGTCCATGACCCTAGGAGGAATCATTCTCACCTACTGTACTGATGCAAAAGTCCCTGCAAAGTAAAAAAATTAAGCGCTGCCACCATAAGTAAATAAAATACATCCACAGATACTGCACAGGTTCAAAGCTGTTTGACACCCATTTCAGGTGGTCAATGGACAGGTAAATAGATGGAACATTTGATTCACAAATGATTGTGGCTGTCAAAAAACATACATTCAACTATCAAACATGTTTGCTGTGAAATTTACAATGTATCTTTTTTGTTTTAAAATTTTTATTAAAATAAACAGATTACAGATATATACAGAAATACAGAATGTTCATAAAATCATAAGATACATTGCCAAATTAAATCCCCTTCCATCCTGTGTCCATCTATATTTATAAAAGAAAGTCCCCTCACTGTAAAATCAATACCCAGGCCAGACTGCTGGACCTAGAAACACCAAATTTGGGAAGAGTGCTCCTACTGTGACGTAGATGCTCGCTAAAAGGGATTTTTAGAAATTCAACCCCTAAGGGGGTCAAAAGAGGTAAAATATGCTCCCCCCATTGATTCCTATGCGGCTGCCAGGTTGCTGCCTCATTGCACCCCCCACACTCTGATTGGTCAGCTGCAAAGTTCAGTGTTCTCAGGTAAAAAAAAAACAGTTACAGGGGACTACAGAGAGCTAATGACAGTTGAGAAAATCAGGAGTGGCCAACTGCCTGTGAGGTGAAGCAAAGCTGCTGTCCCAGCCTCCCTATGGCTTCAAACATGCTCACCCCTCCTACACCTGACAGATGCAGCAGCGGTTGCAGGGCGCTTAAAGCCATGAGGGAGCCCACCCCAGCAGTCTACAGAGAGGTCCTTCAGTAAAGAGAAAAAAAAGTACGTTTGTGTCACTTCATTTTTTTACACTACAATCTTCTCCATTAGAATTCCTACAACAAATGTTACATTTCAAACTTTATATCATCAGTATTATAACTGGATTTATGGAAGTTAAAAATTGTAGCAAAGCACAGGTTATCAGGCTAGTTTATATATACAGATGAGTCAGACCACTGGTCGATCTGTTCTCTATTCTGACTGACGGGATCTATGCAACTTCACACAGATCAAGGTGCTTCCTAAAGGTAAAGGTTTCCCTTGCTCGAAAGCCAGTCGAGTCCGACTCAAGGGTTGTGGTGCTCATCTCCGTTTCCAAGCCGAAGAGCCAGCGCTGTCCGAAGACGTTTCCGTGGTCATGTGGCCGGCATGACTAAACACCAAGGCGCACGGAACGCTGTTCCCTTCCCACCGAAGTGGTCCCTATTTATCTACTTGCAATTTCTCGCTTTCGAACTGCTAGGTTGGCAGGAGCTGGAACTAGAGACGGGAGCTCACTCCGTCATGCGGCAACCCAGGTCTCGAACTGCTGAACTACCGACCTTCCACAGCCTGCAGTTCAGCGTCTTAACCACTTGAGCCACCGCAGCTCCTTTGCTTCCTAGCAAGTTTTAAATCCCACGCTTTCCAGCCACCCACTCCTCCTCACCTCCAGGCAGAGCCTTTCTGTCCTCTCTCTTCTCTCTATCTGGAACAAGATTCTCTGCACTCGATAGTTCCTATTGCCTGAAGCGCAGGTCCACAGGCCGACCTGTAAAAATACCACCCCTCAAAAGCAAACAAACCCTTTCTGTCTCCACTGGACCCAGAATTCCGAATTCCTCACATGACAGCGACGTCTTGTGCCTGTCCGCACCCCGTGGCGATGGTTTCTGGAGGAGTCGTTGGGACCCTCAGGGCTCTTCTCGCAGCAGGGACTCCCCTGCCTCTTAGGCGACCCACCCCTAATGCAGCCAATCCCCCAAGAGCTGACAGTAGCCCCTGTCAGAAGCGCTCTGTCAGCTCTTGGGAGGACTGGCCACATGAGGGGTGTGCCGCCTAAGAGGCAGGGGAGTCCCTGCGGCGAGAAGAGCCCTGACTGATGTGTGCCTGATTTCCCCTGGCTTTGGACCTCTGGCGGAGGGGGGCGGGTAATGCGACGCTTGAGGCGAACTCCCTCTCCGGCCGATCCCTTCGCCACGGCGGTGTCACCTTCGCGCCTAGATCGGGTCCTTCTCTTCCAGCGGCACCTGCGGAAATCGGAGGAGGTTGGGCTCCCACGCGGGCCGGACTTCCGGTTAAAAAACAACAACACCAAATCGGGCCACGTTATTGGCCACGATGGTCCGCGGGCGGAGTGGGTAGAGCGCCGTGCCGCTCTGGGCGTGCACGTCTCGATGTGAAAGCCCCGGATGCTTGGCGTTAGAAAGCCGCCGTAGACGAGTGGGGTTTGTGAACCGGAAGCTCTAATGAGGGGCCGCCTGGGCGTGGGTGACCTCGAGGCTATTCGGCCCGACCCTGTCTGGAAAGATCATAGAGTTGCCCTGAGGGGAGGGGAGGGGTTCGGTCGGACAGTTCCTCTCCATCGGTGCTGGGGGTGTGTGTGTGTGTCACCATCGAGATGATGCGCGCAGCGAGGCGCGGGAGACTGTAAGTGGGGCGCGGGGGGGGGGGCTTCTGGCGTGGGAATGTATACGGCCCCTCCCCGGGGAAGGGGAGAGACGCAACGAGGCTCCACCTCGGGAGGAGACAGGGCAGGAGGGGCCCTGGAGGACGGGAAGGAGCGAGAGGCAGGCGGAGCGTCTCCAGGAGAGACGGCGATGACTGCGCTTGGGAGCCCGTGTTGGCTACTTGAAACGTCGCCTGTTCTGAGGGGCCTTCATGTCCACAGCTGCGTCGGCCCAGAACTAAAACCCACAAGACCAAGAACTCAGCCATAAGGAATCCTTTATGGGACCTGCATGTTGGCTTGTACCTAGGAGCAATGTTCCCTCTAAGCTGAGGAGTCCTGTGAGCAAAAATTCTACTTTGTGAGCCACTGGCATTCAAGTTGTGAGCGAGCGATTTGCCTGCTGCATAAATTAGTTTGCTCTGGAGCCATCCCTTCCTGAGCAAAGACAAAAATGTGTGAGCCGGAGACTAAAAAACTGTGAGCTAGCTCACACGAACTCAGCTTAGAGGGAACCCTGCCTAGGAGGCTTTGAGGGGAAGGACAGGGATCCTGGCTCTAAGGCCCATTCTGCATCTAGCATGTGCTCAGTTGTTTCACAAACCCACACTGGAACAGAAAAAGATGCGGTTCAAAACCACATTCAACTACCTGGGCCAACACCCTACTGACTGCAGAGACACCCCCTCCCCCAATGGCCATAAAATGGCCATAAATCTATGGAGACAGCCGCCATAAAACCAGAGATCAAACAAAGTGAAAGTGGGCATGCAGTCTGGACACTGCCATACAATGCAACACTCAATCAAAGTGAAAGTGGCATGCAATGTAGACGGGAATTTCTGTTCTAGTGTGGGTTTGGTATGACAGCAGAGCAAATGCTAGATGCAGACTGGGCCTAAGAGGAGGACTTCCTAGGGTAGTTTCGGAGGGGAGTCGTGTTGGTTTGCAGAGGAACAGTTAGGCCCAGTCTGCATCTACCATTTGCTCTGCTGTCATACCAAACCTGCACTGGATTGAGTGTCGCATTTTATGGCAGTGTCCAGACTGCATGCTGCTTTCACTTTGTTTGATCTCTGGTTTTATTGTGGCTGTCTGCATAGATTTATGGCTGGGCCATTGGGGGGGGGGGTTGACTCTGCAGTCAGTTCGGTGTTGGCCCGGGGTAATTGAGTGGTTTTGAACTGCATCTTTTTTCTGTTCCAGTGTGGGTTTGGTAAAACAACTGAGCAAATGCTAAATGCAGATTGGGCCTTGGTACATTAAGGGATTTCCACCTTGAAGCATGATTTTCTTACTCACTGCAGCTTTGGGGAGGATCTAAAGTATGAGTAGATAATTCAGATGTGTTTGTGTTTGTATGCATACCAACATGATTCCAGCTCTGAAAGGTATTGTGTCATCCACAGTGCAACTGACTTTCTGAATCAAGCCTAGTAAACTTGGTTTATATGGAATGAATATTGTATGATAGTGGCTAAGCAGCATATCATACCATTCCCAAAATGTTTTATCTCTAGGCTTTGTAGGCTGAAATAAGTTTTGGAGATGAAGCTATCCAGCCGATCCAAACTCAGGGCTTTGTTAGTATTGTGATGTGTATATATATGTGAGAGAGGAGAATGAAACAGGCACACAGGCAGAAGAAAAGTTTTGGAATTCCATGTATGATCTCTAGCACAGGATGAAGCCTGGAATGGTGATTAGTGATGATTCTTAGGTTCAGAACACACTTTCTATAGACCATGGAATGCAGAATTTTGTACAGGGATAGGGGCACTTTTAGCTGTGCTGGTTGTAAGTGCAGAGATGAGACAGAAGACTGTGAACTGAGCTGGGCAATAGAATTAGAGCTGCCAGGGAAGGCTTCCCAATAATATTATGATAGGATCTAATGGTTATTCAATAACCTGAATCCAATAAGATTTTTTCCTTGGGCCTAAGCTTCAACTATGTACAATCCCAGCATCTTCAGTCCCATGTTTCTAGCAGCATACATGTTTTAATTTGTATATCTGCCTTACACCTCCAAGATTGCTATTATCTTTAAATGATTTTCTGCAAGGGGGTAACAGCAGTCCTCTGTACTTTCATAATCTGATTCAAATTTCAAAACCCCGTGTCTGATCCAACTATTAATGTAACAAGTCATCTCCTATTTTAGAGTTACTGTATGCATTCTTAATTTCAAAAACTCCTTTGTTTTTACTGGATAACATCTCTGCAGATTTTGATCTTTGTCTAACACTCAGTCTGTACTATGTGGAACCAAGCTACCGTTGGATGAACCACCCCTCTGATAAAACAGATTTTATTGTCCATTTGGATTCAGATGGGTTGTGCTGTATATGTCCATATCTAGCCAAGAATCTCTGCTAGTGTGGCATTGTATCCAATCCCTAATTTTAAGGCATGTTAAAAGGAAGGTTTCAGCTCATCTGTTTTCCCATAGATATGTTCGTAGTCTGATCTTCTAACAAATTCTTGTCAGTCCATAGCTGCCCTAGTTTAACCTGTCAAAGGCCATATTTCCTCAGTAACAATATACCAGTAGAGAGAATTTTTTGGATTTGAATTGGATTTTAGGCTGTTTCACTGTTGTGTCTGCTAACTTTTTTTATTCTCTGCATCACTTCTTCGGGAAAGAATTTCAGTGAAGTTACCTTTCCTGAACCAGATGTCCATCCTGTTAAGCTTTCTGCCAGACAGAAATGAGCTCCAACTGTGCTATATAATAGCCATTATAATGAACAGTAACTAATATTTGGTATTGCCAATCCAATTCTTACTAAGCTTCCTCTAGGCATAACATTTGCTTTCTTCTCTCCAGGAGAATATCAGTACCATTTTCTTGGTGTATCTTTAATAGGAGCTGTACCACCCCTTTGTGTCATGGCGCAAGACCAGACTGAGGAATGAAAGTCAATGAACACAGGAGCAGTGACCAGAAAGCCCGTGGGAGGATACAAGATGAATACTGTTTGCCAGGAGCTGCTGCTACCTGGACTGTCGGATTCAGGAAATGAAGACAGCCATGGCATCTCCAGTGAAAATCTAGCAGTGGGACAGAGCTTACTTTTAACAGAGGCTTCTGTGGTAGAAACAGAAACGGGTGAGGTTGAAATACTTGTAGAAGCTGCGGCTAGCAGCGTGTCCTTGAGCAACCCTGGAAACACTACAGGTATGTTGTGCTCAGGTAGGACAGCCTGTTTAAGAATAGACCCACATTGTGGCTGTTGTCTCTTAAAATGCAAGAGTGGGCTGTGTTCTGTAATGTTGATAGGTAAGATGCAGTATACCACAAGATGTCGAGACAGTGTGTGACTGCAATAAAGAAGGCCAATGCTATGCTGGGGATTATTAGGAAGGGTATTGAAGGGTATTGATCAGCCAATATCATAATGCCCCTATATAAATCAATGGTGAGACCTCATTTGGAATACGGTGTGCACCACACCTTAAAAAGGATATTATAGCTTTGGAAAAAGTGCAGAAAAGGGCAACTCGAATGATAAAAGGGTTGGAACACTTTCCCTATGAGGAAAGGTTAAAGCGCTTAGGGCTCTTTAGCTTGGAGAAAAGACGACTGAGGGGTGACATGATCGAGGTTTATAAGATTATGCATGGGAAAGAGCAGGTAAAGAAAGAGGTACTTTTCTCCCTTTCTCACAATACAAGAACTCGTGGGCACTCCATGAAACTGCAGAGCGGTCAGGTTAGAACGGATAAAAGGAAGTACTTCTTCACCCAAAGAGTGATTAACACATGGAATTCACTGCCACAGGAAGTGGTGGGTGCTACAAGCATGGACAGCTTCAAAAGGGAATTAGATAAGCATATGGAGCAGAGGTCCATCAGTGGCTATTAGCCACAAGGTATAGCTAGGGGCTCTGGGGCAAGTGATGCTCTGTCTTCTTGGTGCTTGGGGGGGGGGTCAACAGTGGGAGGGCTTCTAATGTCCTGGCCCCACTGCTGGACCTCCTGATGGCACTGGTATTTCTGGCCACTGTGTGACACAGAGTGTTGGACTGGATGGGCCTTTGGCCTGATCCAACATTGGCGTCTCTTATGTTCTTATGTAAAC